AGAGCGTCCCCCGGGACGCCCTGGGAGAGGCTTTTTTGCTAGGTAAGTCTGGGTATGTACATAAAATGGACTCAGCTTCCGCGCCAAACCACAGCCTTCAGTCTCAAACCTTACTTAGGGGGCTTGCTTCGTGCCGGCCTGGCTATACCAGGCCCTCCGTTGAGGGACAGCCGTAGCGGGTGCATCCCATGGACGCTCCGTTTCCCGCGAGCTTAACATAAGCCTCGCGATCGGAGGGTCCCGAAGGGACCCCGCGTCCGAAGGGACGCTCTCCTCGCTACGCGACCTCCTCGGAGGGACCTTGTGTTAAGTTCGCGTTTCCCGGTGCCCTCCCGACACCACTACATCACTGTTTGGGCTATCCCCTTAATCCGGATTCAACGATGGACTCGCAAGATCAAGCAAGCTTAGAAGGACGAGCACCTCCGACCGAAGAGAACGAACGCGCTCGTTTCCGAGAACTCCATCGAGTGGATATCGATCCAAATTCCTTCTCAGCCTTTGTCACGTCGGCTGGATGTACGTAGAGTTTGATTATTTCGTCCCCCTCGATCGCAACAAGCTGATTTATGTTTGCTGGTGTTGTGTCATGGCACATGAAGTGGAGAAAGTGCAAGAGTACCATGACCGACTGGAAGCGGTATTTCGGATTGTGATAAGCAATGGGAGACCAAAAGAATCTTGCACCGCTTTGTGGGAGGCTTTGGTCGTCTCAAAGCACTGCTCTTTTAACGTCTTCAGGGAAGCACTCTTACTGACCGAGGAAAAACATCCCGATCAGATAAAAGAATTTCTCCGTCTTGCTTACTTCCATCAATATCCTAAGCATGATTCTTCCAACCTCTCGAACAAACAAATGGCCGATGCAATCAAGGGTGTCGTCGCCAACAAACCTGAGAAGCCTCGCGACTCCGAATCTGTTCATCCGGACTGGTCTGTCGATATCGTGAAGGCTGGTTTTCAGGCAGAGTATAAGAATTCTGATCTTATCGTCAAACCAAACCTAGATCTCCTCCGTGATATGGCGGGTGCATGGTCGCAAATAAACTACAAGGCGCCCTTCACTTCGATCGTCGGCCCGACCATGAGCGGTAAAACTCGATTACTACTGGAATTCGCTAAACATGTCTGCGTAGTTTATATATGTATTCGACCTCCTGATTCATCTGGCCAGCCCCCTCGTTCCTCACTTGCTGATACACTGCTGCCAATTGATCCGGAGCTGAAGTCGAATCTGCATCTGCATTACTCTCGCTTTTTGGCTGCGATTCTAGAAGCGGTGGCTGATTTCTTTTCAAGTGCTAATATGCAAGGCCGAAAGTCAGAAGATCAATTAGCTGCGTGGTTTGAACACAGTTTTCAAATGGATGAGAAGAAGAAACCCGACAAGTTTTCCTCGGATGTAAGAGCAAAAATGAAGGCGCTACCAGCTACCCCGGAAACAGAGACTATGAACCTTGTCGAAGACGCCGCAAAGAAAATGCACGACAGCATCCAATTCCTCGAGAACGGAAAACTCAAGCTAGTCCTTGCGATTGACGAAGCCAGAAACTTGCTCCCACCGGAGGACCAAACTTTCAAAATCTCATACTTTCAAGCTTTTTGTCGGGTTTTATCCCAGATACCTCCATCAAAGGGATTCTTTGCTGTCTTCACCGATACAATCTCAAAGGTAGCCAATTTTAATCCTTCGGCCAGCAAGGATCCCAGCTTGAGAATTCCCAACCGTGGGTATAAACTATTTCCGCCAATATATAAACTTGCAACGCTGGATTTGATGGCCAGGCCAATACCGGAAAGTTGGAAAGAATTGCTATCGCCCCTTCGGCTCTTCAGTTATGGCAGCCCTTTTTACGGCCTGTATTTTGAGGCAGCAAAGAATAAGACGCCTATGGGCGCCATTGAAGTTACTATGAGTATTGCCACCGAAAAGCTGCTTTGCACCACAGTTACCCCTTCCGCTCAAGAGTTGTCCAAATCACAAGTTTTCGCCTTACTGGGCTCCACAATACAGACACGGCTCACATCTTCGGACATGAACTCAGAGCTGATTTCAAGTAATGCAGCTCACTGCATGTTCATTAGCTCATCTCGAGACTTGATAATCAGCTATTATCCCTCGCAGTTCATCTATGCATCGGCAGCCAACACATTTCTTGCATCGGATGACGAGATTATGGTTGCCTGCATTGATTGTCTAGCTACTTCAATGTAGAACGGGCTCATCTCCTGTGGAGACCCTGGAGAAATGGCGACCAGGATCATCTTACTACGGGCAATGCACAAAACAAAAAAGATCACTTGTGATGGGGAAGACTCAATCCCATATGGATATTCGGTTCGATTGGAGGACTTCCTTGAGACCTTGACTGGAGTGAATCCACAACAGTTGCACTTTGGTCCAATCAAGAATGCCCCCAAAAACAGACTCTTGCGGAACGGACGGATCTTCTTCAACCATTTTACTCCCGTTGAATACACGCCCAACGCAACCGATCTATTGGAGCTTTTGTACCGAGGCCTTGCGGTTCAATGCAAGCCTGGACAGCATGGACTTGATGAGCTTTTCCCAATCTATCTTCCACCGAAATCCAAATCTCCAGACTCTGATAAGCTCAGCCACAAGAACATCTCCTTCTGTGGTATTCAAACCAAAAATCAGACTGATTCAATCGACTGGTCAGACAGCCATAAGTGGTCCAAAAGTGGCGCCGGAATCAAAGATATCCAAAATCCCTACCTTATCCTGTTATTCAGCTTGAGATCAGAGGACAAGCCTGATACCACCCGTTCGAAAAAAGCACCAAAAGAAAACCCTCCAGAATGGAAGAAACCATTGGACAATACAGACCAACAAAGAGCTTATCTCAATTTCCTTGGTCTGGATCCTATTGCTTGCCTTACACCCAAGATACGCACAGCGCTGAAAAGATTGCTCAATTCAACACCAGAGGACATACTACCGCTTCATAAACCAGACCACCGGACCCTGCCAGATGCCCATACCTTAGAGTGGATCAGATGTCAGAACCCAATGTTCTATGACAGGCGCAATTGAGCCAATGTTTATCCAGCTTCTCCAGGAACGTGTAAGTTTTTTTTTTGATTGATTGAACATCCTAGAATTAGTACAGAGATAGACATCACATGATACTCATTGCTGACACAATACTCTAGCCATAACCCGGGACACCCGCAAGTTACACCTACAAGTTTCAACACCCTCACTCTCTCAACGTGCCTCAAAGGCTTGGGTTTCTACCACAACTTGCCCACAGCCGCTTCGCCCACCAGGAAGATGCAGGCTTTTTGTAACAATAATCTCCACCTTGACAAAATCTTTAGTGAGCTAGTTGAGTTTCATAGTTGATTATTGAGTTGTTATGCACATTTAGTTATGATGTCATAGCTCAATGACATATTATTTGATCAGAGTTTTTCATGATCATGATCATTTTCTTTCTTTTGTTTTCCTTATACTCTCTCTTTGTCACTTCTGTTTGTTGCTCCTCCTTCCTCATCACTATATTTCTGTCATTTGTTGTAGCATTACCAACAGCATATCTTGTTATCAAAAAAATCTAATAGGCCAAAGACAGAGTTAATTGCTTTAGTAAGTTGAGCCTATGTAGTAAAAAACAGAGGAGTAAAAAAAACATTTCTTCTGTGCTCAAAATCTTGCACCTGAAGACAGAGCAGTACGTTTGCTAAGCTGCAGTAAACAAATGTGAAAGAGTAAAAGAGAAGATGAATGGTTGTTGATGAGGTATTTGAGATCTAGGGTATCAAAAGATAAATGAGGTGTTGTACTTTGTTATAAGAACAATTTTCAAAGAGTTGGATCAGGTGTGAAGTGTCTTTTGGGGTAATTTGGTGGAGGGAGGCTGTATCCCCGGAGGGGTAGGCAGGGAGGAGAGGAGATGAGATGACTTTTGGTAAGAACAGTGGGCAACTCTGGAAGCAATTGTAAGTCACAGCCAAGTGTACATATACATTCATCATTACCCAATGCTCATGGAAAGGTCTCACAAACCACAAGCTTTCTCAGAATGGCTGTACTTCATTTTAAACTGTGCACCAAAACAAAATCAAATCACTTCACAAAGATATTCATGTTCCATAGTACACATATGGTAATTCTTGTTTTCTCTACCTCATGGCATCCTAGAGATCTACATGAAGAGTTTGATTTTACCACATACACATTAATTTCTCTTTCAAAATACAAAGTCTATCAGACACTGAGCATGTCACACCGATCCGTACACTGATAAAAAGTTCATTATAAAAAAAATCCTTCTTCAACAATCCATAGTTTTTTTTTTTCCCTGACCATCTCATAGGAAGGGATACATGTGGACTGGAATCTAGAATCATGGACAAGAGAAGGGGGAAAAAAGGGGGGTGTTACTGGAGCATAAGTTAACCAGCGGAGGCAGAATCCAACAACCATTGTTCGGGGTTAGCAGAATTAGCGAGTTTGAATTCGAACTGTTTCCACCACTTTTCGAGCACGGCGATGGGGATCCAAGTCTGATTATCGAAGGTCGTGCTAGAGAAGGAGGCGAGATACCGGAAGAGGTTGAGGCCGATGGCCTTAGCGAGCTGATGAGGGAGCTGACCACAAGCCGAGCCTGGCAAAGACTGGGGCCCCGATGATGGACCCCGGAGTGTCACCGCACCGTTCAACGCCCCACATTCGGCCTCGATCTCCGCCAGTGGGGCCACTAGGATCCCCAGGGTCGCCGTCGCTCTCGGAACCGCTCCCATCGTGGAACTCGCCCAATCCAGCTGCGAAGGCACCATCGTCCCCTTCAGCCGGAATACTGCAGACGGCTTCGTCCCACTTAACCTGCCCATTTTTTTCCCACATCACGTCCAAAAAAAAAAAAAAAAACAATCGCCATCCGTTTCAGTGGCTCTTGACGGTTAATTTCAAAGCCTGCGCGAAGAGGAGGACACATACATTCCGAGGAGCAGCCAATCCGGCTTATTCGGAAACTGGAAATGAATCGAGGCGGCATAATTATCGGGCAGAGGAACTGTGTGAAGCAGAAGGATGTACAGGCAAGATGTGACATGAGTGAATGCCAGATATATAAAGAGAGAGAGATCGCTTACCGTTGCCAGTGAGGAAGACGACAAGATGGTTGATCGAGCCGGGGTCATCGAATTGGAAGACGAACCGGTTAGGAGGCAGATGAGTGAAGTTGGTCTGTCTATTACCGAGCCGCCCAATGATCCGACGATGGTCAGTCCCCACACTCCCAAACTCGCCAAACTCGCCAAGTCAAGTCAGCAAACAAGAACGCTTGGGGTTTTCTGGACTGACACTGGTCTTGATGGGATGATGCAGCCAAAGACGGGCGGATCGACTGTTTGCTGTGGGAGGTTGGTCAGGTTTGAGGATTGATGGTGGTCATCGAACATTTCGTTGGCTTGTACACGATCTCCTTATGTATTTTTTGTTTTGGTTTGTTTGTTGGGTTGATGGGTTGATGAGAAGCTCGTCTGCGAGTCGTTGATCTGACTATGCTGGAAGAGGACAATCATATCCGAGGGGGCTCTTGGAGGGGGACAGGTTTTATCCTGCAGAAGAAACAAACTGTTCTCGGAGACTGCAGGGGTCTGCCTCTAGTCATAGTGGTGGGTCGACGTGAACGCTTGAAAATTGCTATGTATGCTTCAGCTCAAGCGAGATGGTTCTCGGGATGTGGAGAACGTTCTAGAAATTCAATAAAACCTCAACAAACGGGTACAACTCTCACTCTTCACTCCGCTAACTTGTCTCTTCATGCGAACTTCCCTCCCATCGGGGTCCACAGCATCATGGCAGGATTTCATCTGAGCCTCACAGCTCATATAACCATCATCAACCTTCGCCTCTCAACAACCATCAACACCACTGGAAAGAGTCAAACAGTATAGACCAGTGCTACACCTACACCATCCCTCACCATCTTTTCACATGGAAAACCAAAAAAAAAGTGTATTCATGACTTCTCTCTTCTTGTTCATCATCATTTCTTGTTTTCTTCTACACAACAGAGTAAAAAAAAAAAAAAAATTAAACAAAAATAAAACATGAACAAGCAAAGAAAAACAAAGATCCTCATCACAAGAAAGAAAAAACCGCAGAGAAAAAAAAACGCAGATGAGGAGTCAACAGGGGGGGAAGATGTTTCAAGCACCGTCTCGCCAAAGAACAAAAAAAGCACAGAAGAGGGGATTAAAAGTATATGATAGCTATCTAACATACCGTCTTGCGGTGTTAGACGAGGAGGCATATGAGGGGGATTTAGCCTTACTAGAAGAAGGGGTAGGATATCTTTCGTTTTGGCCGGAGGGGGGAAAGTAATCGACCGTTGTTGGTGGAGCGACGACTCTTTGAGGAGCCGGAGCAGGTTTTCTAGCTGATCCCTCGTACCTGCGTGGGTCGAGATACTGACGGGGCCGGTCGTCATAGTGAGAGGGATTGTAAGCGCGCTGGGCGGCTTGGGAGGACGGTTGACGATTATAGGCCATCTGCTGCTCGAGACGGTTCCTGCCCGGCGGGGCCTTAGCAGGGGCATACTCGGCTTGCTCCTCATACCGTCCGCGCCGCCGTCGGGGCGGCTCGGCGCTCGCGTATCCCGAGTCCTGCGAGTGCTTGGTCGACCCGGAATCGTGGCGGGCATGCCCGCCCCGACCCTCGTCGACTGCCGCAAAGATGTCGTCCAGCCCTCCCCGGCCGCCCGTCCGCTGGGGCACGGGCTCCCCTTGACTCTCGTACCGCTCCTCCGCTCGCTGGCTCGAGTGGTTCGTGTACTGCGAATCCTTCAGTCGAGATTGCGCTTCCCTCAGCTCGGCTGGGCTGAACAGCCAGTCCGGTAAATCGTACATCGATTCGGCATTCTCTATGTGATGTCTACGTTCATTCATCCCCCACATCTCATCAGCTCTCGAAATACTCATATATATAAGCCCTCCAGTTGACACTCAAGAATCGAACTCACTTCTTCATAATCCTGATCAGATGACTTTCTCCTTCATAATCCGAGGCATCGCTTGCGTAACCTTCATCATTATTCAGTTTCTTTTGGAACGTAGCACCAACGGTGGCAAGCTTGGCCCAGATGGTGTCTGAAGATAAAGCAGATCAAAATTCGAGTAAATATATTTGTTTAGTGGATGGATTATTCAAGGGAGGTGAGGAGACTAAAAGTGATTCGACTGACTTTGATTTTCTTGATGGCGATGATCACCAGGAGCTAGATCTTTTGGTGGAGGTGGGGACATTTCTCTAGGTTGACTAGCATCTGTCGTCGAATTACCCCAGACAGTCTTTTTGAGATTGTTCCAGCTCCAAGAACCTTCGGCCGGCTCTGTGGAGCCATGAGGATGAGGCTGGGCTCCATCGGCCGCCTCTCCGTCGGAATAGTAATCTTCTGGTGAGATCGGACGGTTGCCACGTCTGGATGGCCCGTCGCTGTAGCCTGAGTACTGCTGCTGATAATTGTCTCGAGCATCACTAGGACGTCGAGTGGCGGAGACTGGGGCCTTTCGAAAACCGGAAGTTCTGTCGTCAGTCATGGCGCTAGGCCTTGAGAAGGATGAATGATAATCCGATTCTAGATCGTGCCGGCCTCGAGAGGCCTGGTTATTATACCGTCTTCCAGATGGTCGTGGTGGTGGTCCATAATCCTGATAGGATGAGCCAGCGTAGTCAGCTGCACGCTGAGGTGGGCGTGAACTTGCACCCCCGTAGTAGGGCTCAGCCGCTGGGTATCGTTGAGGTGGTCGGCCCGGCCTGGTCCCACCTGCCTCACTTCTCGAGTAGCCATAGGCGTTGCCCATTGGTGGTGGTGGTGGCCTGGGAGGTCCGTATCGGTTGTATAGCTCGCCTGGGCGAGGTGATGGTCGGCCATATGACATCCTATGATGTTCTTTTGCTTGGAAGCTGCGAATGCCTTGGTATCGCAGTAGAAGAAATGGAAGAAGAAAAAAAAAACCAGCTAGCTAGATTCTTCTAATCCGTAGGGATTTTTGTAACTGAGGATTGCTACGGTGGGTAGTGCAGTCTGGCTACTACTATATGGGATTTTGTAAGCTCCAGAGTTCAACCGTGAGCCCAACAACTGTTCTCGTGGAGATATGTGTCAATAATAATGTCTGTATGTCTTCGGATGTGCGGGATTATCACGAGCAAACAGTAATAAGCAGCGAACGCCAAGGTTCGAGTCCGACCAATCAGTGTTTGTAGATAGCCAGCAGGAGCCAGCCCGAAGGATTGCGCCAATGTTGACCCTCTCAAGGGCTCAAGGGGTTGTATATATAAGTTAATCAAAGTGATAGGTGTTCGAACCAATGACAAGGAAGAGGAGCTCGAGCTCAGAAATCCTGAGCGATGCCGGCCTGACTGAAGTGGTACATAGCAGCTAGGGATAATTTGTGTAAGTTGGTGATGACACAATCATCATCCATCGGTCGTTTGGGGATAGTTTTTATGGTAAGGCGTCGGAGGGGAGACGAAAAACTTTAAGGAATGTGTGGTTGTGGGGTGCTACTGTTTCCGTGCTGGTTGTCAAGAACCAGTGCGAGTGCTGTACAAGTAGGACCAAGGGCAAAACCAAGAAATCCTCGGGTGGCTACCGCTTAACCAGAAAGGCCTCGGGATGAAGGAGTTTGCGTTTTATAGACAGAGCCAGTTATCCGTGCTTCAGAGGGAAGGGAGAAGCTCCGCAAGCTTAGACCAATGTTCGTGGGACGATCTGGCGTACGAAAGGGAGATACATCAGTGTCAGCGAGGTTGCAGGAGGTGTAAAGCGGAGTCGCAGTACGAAGACTGTCGCATCGAAAAGGGGCAAGAGGACGGTAAGCGAGCCGGGGAGTGGGATAGACGGATGTAAATCAGACCCAAAGCGACAGGTATTTATGGGAGTCTGATGTGTATGTATGAGGGGGATACATAGAACAAGCAGAAGACAAGGAGCCAACGAGATCCACCGCAGGTGTTTGGTCTGAGACTCACTTGATCGGATCCGATTTTACACATAAAATTCTTGAGCTTTCCTCTGAGAGGGGACGCGTTCTTTCCACAAATCGGCTACGATGGGCTAGGAGCGGAACAGGTTGTAAATGGAGAGTGGTGGATATGGATGAAGCTTGCGAGCGGTTATGTTGCAAGTGGTCCTTCGGGAGCCGGGGTTCTTCTAGTTGGATGCCGAGGAGTGCCGGAGCCGAGCCCGAAGCGGGAAGCTGATGGCTCGAGGCCGGCGGATCACTTCACTCAGAGTTTAGTCCGATCGCACGCCATCCTCAGCCGATCGAATAAATATCAAAGAAGGATCAAGAAACTGATCGTTCCCTTTAATCCTACCTTCATGCAGCGGCGGCAACGTCCAGACTCCACGACGGCAGAGATTTCGTTGAGCAGGGGCTGGTGCCAGCTACACTTCCATCTTCTCATCAAGGTCCAATGGAAGAGAAGGAAAAAACTTGATGCAGAATACAATGTTGCACTACGATGTCGGGGCCTCACCATACACATCCACCATTGCGGAGTACATAAAAGAAAGAGTAAAACGGATGGGGAGAAATAACATTCCCGGGGCGGATTTGAAATCCCCCGGGGTGACAGACGGCAGCGCTCATTATAAACAGTTCAGGGTGTAAATGGGTCGGGTCGACCCGAAGCCGACCCGAGACCCGACGGGTCATGGGTCGGGTTTGGGCAGACTTTGTGAGAAAATCACATGACCCGAACCCGACCCGGAAGCTTAGCGGGTCGGGTTCGGGCAGGTTTTTTGATAGTTGGGCAGGTCAGTTTTTGTCAGAGTTGCTCTACAAAGGCTAAAACAATCGGGTCGGCCCGAACCCGACATGCAAACTGCCGACCCGAACCCAAAAAGTCCCAAGACGGGTTCGGGTCTGGGCAGCATATATTCAAGTTTGACCCGACCCGACCCAACCCGACATAGGTGTCGGGTTGGGTTTGGGCACTGTTTTTGGGCCCGAACCCGACCCGTTTACATCCTGATAAACAGTCCACTGTCCAATGAGATGTCACATCATTCTGTCACAGCTGTCACAAGGATTGAGTCTTTCACTCTTTTTCCAGGCCGCATACAATCAGACACGCGCTCTGTGCGCAATGGATCTATGAACGAGTTGGTTGTAAGTGGACCTTTTTCTAGTTGACATGAATATTTAGGGATTTGCCGGTGTAAAAGGTGTTTAAAGAAGGCTGACATGACAGGCCTTTTACACATCTCTCTCCACAAGTGTCATCCAGAAAGCTCTGAGTCAAAACTGTCCCTTTCCCAGTGATTGACATGTGTTTCTTGGGATCCCTCTCCCAAGAAGCTATATAAAGGCTTCAAGCTTTCTTCAACTCACAAGCTTATGTAGCAGGGCTAATCCTCAAGTATTTCTTATAGAAGGCAATGCACACAGAGAAGGGGGAGTTTTGCGTAGACTAGGACTGAGAGTGCCGGTGATGCTATTTACAAGCTGTGACTCTAAGGTGTATGAACGATGGTGATGGCTAGCTACAAGCTGGAAGAGAGGGCTTCCTAGGAATGAGAGGGCCTGTGATGGTATATACAAGGTGTGTGTGGATTATGAGCAATTGGGAGAAGATCACTGGTTGCTTTAATGTTCATCACATGGCCCGAAGTCGTGGGGTGCTGCAATGCATTTTTCCTCGTCCACCGACCGATTGCATTGGTTGCATTTCTTATAAGACAGTACTGTACCGCTGCCACACTCATCATGGTATTCACCAGCATCGCATTTGAACATTTTCTTGCATGTGCCAAATTCTTGAGAAATTATCTCGAGCTTGCCAGTGCACTCGTTTTTGCCGCAGGTTTCAAGAATCACCTGGCTCATGACCAGCTGGCTAATGAAGAGCGAACCAGCGACCAATAGGTATCTTGAGGCGTGAAACTGCATGATGATTGGGCTGTAGGGTGTATGTAGGCGGAAGGAATATGGAGGAGTGTTTGAATGATCTCATTAGTAACTTTGAAGTGGGTTAAATGCTTCGAAGGGTCAACAGTAACAGCTGGGATTTTCCACAATGCTCTTGGAATACATATAGCAACTGGGGAAACCTTAGACGCGGAAGAGAACTTCGACTTACAAGGCTTCGGTGAGCAGACAAGAGGAGACTGACTGGACTGATGATGAGTGAGTGGATGGGCTTGTCCAACCGATGGAAAGGACTGCGTGACTTTGTACCCGTTCCAGCCGGGTGCACGCGTATGGCGCGACAGCGAGAGGCATGCGGTTGCGTAACTTCCCACTTTCCAGCAGGAATGAACCCGGCAGGCGTTGAGAGTGCTACATAGCCTCCATGAGGTTCGGGAAGAAACGCTTCAGTACGTTTTCAAGATAAGTGGGTTTGAGACCACCAGGATAAATACAAAAGCGATAGGGCATGGCAGGATGGTAGAGGGTCATCCTTGGGTCCCGATTATATAAATATGTACTCTTTCTGGAGCCAGAGTTTCCTCCCTCCCGAAGGGCATAGCCCTACGCTTCATGATGCAGAGGCTGAAGTGAGAGGATTGCACTGGAATCAACTGGTGAGGTAAATTGCGTCCATCGTGAGGCATGTTATCATATTCCGGCACAATATGAATCAACCTGTTCTCAAGATGAATCAGTGTAACCCTTTTACAATTTTTCTCGAAAAGATTCATCAAAGAAAGGTTTCACAAAGGAATCACATCTTACTCCGTCCCTTTTTATCTCTAACATTTTTCATTTTTTTTCATCAGTTCACATCCATGTCAGTCAACTTGAAGTAAATGAGACATTGATTTCGACGGTGCTACAATTTTGAAGAGAAGAGAGATAGAGATAGAAGGAGAACGAGAGCATGCCGGCGGGATTGCACTGATCGGAGAGAGGATGGATCATTGAAGTGATGTTGTGGATCTGGCGAGGCGTTCAACGAATCCCATCGATCTTCAACGAGCTTAACAGCGATCATCATTTCTCCAGAGCCGAATGTGGTAGGACTGGCTTGAGTTGACGGTATTTAAGAAACTACGACCTCACTACTGTTGATAGTTTTTCCGGTCTTGGCAATCTTTTCTCGTACGATATCGAAAGTGGCGGGGGCATGAGCATGGACCAAGACGGTCTGGGTTTCTAGAGAGATATCGATCTTCGAAACTCCTTGAATTGAACACCCAGAGACGAACCAGCAAACAGTCAACATCACTTTTTTCAAGAGGCTTGCAGTTTTCATTTTTTTGTTTTGCTCTTTTCGAGGGAATCATAGACATTCATATGTACCTTCTTGTTTCTTTAAGGCCCGCTCGACCGCGCCGGAGCAACCTGAACAGGTCATCGCCACGTTGAATTTGTACTGTTGTTCTGGACCAGAAGATGTCTGGCGAAAGAAGTGATTGGATGTCAGTATTTGTCACGCTTCCTTCCTGGCTAGTGTGTTAGTCAGTCTCGACTCACCGCAGCGGCTTCGGACATTCTGAAAATTTAAGATTGGATGAGTATGATGGTGATGATGATGATGTTGGTGTTGGAATGAGAATCGAGTGTGGTGAGGCTGTTGGCGCTGGGAGAGATTCCGAGGTTGGGGGGAGGCTTTTTCAGCTCACTGTCGCACGTGACAACCCTCGTGTCTGTGTGGCCGGCTCGGTTGTCGCGAGCCATCAAGTTTCTGCCCAGCGGTCCGCGGATGCCATACCCACCGCATCCCGTGTCCCAACTGCCAAGCACCTCTTTGTAAAAATGCAGAGCACATTCAAGCTGGGTAAATGGATATTTTCATCTAGATATATCCCAGCTATTTCGTGCACACTGACCCTGAACCTCACCGATCGTGCATACACCGCTGAAGCCCTCTTTAAAAATTAAGCTCTAGCATCTCCAGCCTGGATCAACACCAACAATTCACTTGTTGAACTGCCACATTCTTCCAAGCTGTTCTAGAAGAGAAAAGTTCAATATAGCTGCCAGATCAAATGGACATCACGCATTCCAAGCAAGAAAAATGATGTTGAATATTTATGTTTAGGAGCCGGGTACTACAACTTTAAAATTATGTGCTCCCTTCGATATCAAGGGTTACACGACTGCAAGAACAAGATCACAAGAATTTATACAGATTTTCACTTTTTTTTTTTCGTACTACACAACGCTATCGTTCGTATCAAGAAAACCCAACTGCAAGCACTGGTGTTTGGCCTAAGACCATGTGATTAGTGTCCATATACAGAATTTGTCTGTTTTTTTTTGGAGCGCTGCTTTTACTCAGAGCTGTTCCAAATTCGATTCCATTCGAGCAAAAGCTGTTTTTTTTTGTTCAAAAAAATTACCAACATAAGAATGTGCTAGATGCAATACGAAGAGTAAGGATAATTCAAACGATGGAAAAAGAGACTGACCCGATAAGAGTAAATCTCCCAATCGATTTCGCGGGCGTGAGCTTGACTCCACTGAGAAGCTTGGTGGCCGATTTGCTTGAGATTATCTTCATGGTTGACGATCTTCCATCCCTCCTTGGCGAGATGTCTTTGATGTTCCATGAACACCCCATCGTCCTTCCCAAGGCAATAGTTCCAGATGTTGTATAGCTCGTCTCCTTCTACACTCAATGGAATGTAATGGACCCATGGAACCATCTAGATTTTAAAAATAATAGTCCACCAATATTCTTGATCAGCTGTTTTTCTATCCTCATAAGTGGATGACTTCCCGTCGAAATCTGCGGGTCTCCCAGTTTCGATTTAGAGCCACAAAAGCTAGATTTCCCTGCGAAAATCTAGACTTTTCGGGTCTAAATCGCAAACTGCGAGGGTCCCAGATCCGACGGGAAGTCCTCCAGTCAACACAAAAAAAAAGAACAAGGGTGTTTACCCAATCGCTGTAGAACTCTCGGTATACTGTCTGCTTGACCACTGCTGTTCCGATTTGAAGCATGTTAAGAAATTTGGCGGAGAACCCAATACCTGAACAAAAGAAAAGTTGAAAAAAAACAGATACCGATGAATAACAAAGTCTTTCGATCGAGTGATTGAGCGCAGACTATAAGAAAAGAGCTTGGGGACCTACCATCGATGTCAATAGCCCATTTGAAGAATTTGACAGCCCCAAAGGGTTCCCACATTTTAAGACGGTAGTTTGCCCTTCAAGAGTTCTTGACAAGGCTCATGAGCTCTGCAATGATCTTCGGCGAGATATCCGACATCCATGGTCTTATGGTTGACGAACGATCTGTCCAGCACTTGCTTGGAGAGCATCTTCGGATTGAGAGTGCCGATGCCCATAAGCGAATTGAGGCCGGAATCCTTCGATCCGAAGATCGATTGCTTGGTCGGACTGGAGTCCCAGACTAGGCTCTCTGAGCGACTACGGACCGATGATCCAAATCGTTTGACTAATCTGTGTCGACTGTAATCCGCGGAACAGAGAGAAAAAAAAAGAAAAGAAATTAGGTCGAAGAATGGAAACGAGAAGGAAAGCTATATATTATCAAGCAACACTTGCCCAAAGTTTGATTGGAAACCACTCGGCCGATCTCCTCCATCACGCAAAAGACCTCTCCAATAGATTTGGTCTTTCTTCTGGGCCCACTTGACGTCCCATGGCTTCCATAGACTAGGGTCCATTTTGCTTGCTTGTCCGCCTGCTATGAAGCTTGTCCCTCTGCTTCTCTTGCTCACTGGCTCATTGGCGTACTCGCGTGTTTTATACGGATCTCGAATGTACAAGTCTATCGAAAGAAGAAGAAAAAAAGTAGATCGCCAGTTAAAAAAACTGCCACTCTTTTCTCTTACGTATCCTATAACAATATATCAGACTTACAACTCGGTATGACGATGTCTCCAAAACCCTGGGCGGTCGATTGAGAGAAGACGGGAAACAAGCCTTCGATCTTACTAGTATTGCTGAAGAACAAGCCTTGTTCGAGGTGACGTTGAGGCTGATCACAGTAGATGTCCTTAATCGGAGCAGGAGACTCGGTCACAAATCGCAAGGGAGAGCGATTGGCGGTGAGGGATTCTTCCAGTGCGGCTCGTTGAGGGCCATCCTCCCACTTTCCTTCGATAGAAGAACTAGGGAGCAGTTCTTCAGGGAAGTTGGGCCCATCGTTCTGCTTCCGTGCTTCCGAACTAGGCGGACACGCTTTCCGGAAACTGGTCCACACATTGTCGTGCTCTTCGAATCGGTTGTGGTTCCAGCTTTGGCTAAGATCTTATGATAATAATAATAATAATAATAATAATCGTAACGCAAAATTTTAGTCTCAGCATCATGGCCTTCAAAACCCTTTCTGTTTACTTTGGACTACCCACCTTCGTCCGAGTTTTCTTTCGTCTCCCAAGGTATAATGACACGCGGCTCGAAATGCTCGTTGATAGCCAGACTCATATCTTGAAAGAGTGTCGGATCGAGCCGGGTGATCTTCTCGATCAACTTAGAGAACGCCCACGTTTGAGTCTGCTTGATTTCCTTATGGGCCGGTTTATCGGAGGTTGCCCAGCGCGTATAGATCCTCCCCTCCTGGAGGTTGAATTCATGGTTCTCATGGTCATTATTGGTGTAAGTCGAGTACGATAGATTGTTGGGGATCTGGGCATTTATCCGGCCATTCTTCATGACTATCAGCCCGAATCCTTGAGCCTTACCGATCAGATTCGTTCGGGAATGCAGCTCGTTTCGGTCCATTTTCCGGAAGCTTGAGAGCTGTTCCATCATCGAGTCATACTCATCAGTTAGGACATGACCATGGCCTATTTTTTTTAGAAAAAAAAAATCAACTTTTAGCTTCTTCTTCTCCTCAATTCCTAGCTCAAGTCAATTTCAACAGTACCAAAGTGCTTACTTTTAGCAAATGAAAACCATTTGTCGAACCCGTTGGGTGGATTGATTTTGTACCTGGAGACAGATACGTTCAAAGGTCAGCATACTTAACTCTATTCAACATCTTTGAGGAGAATCCGGTTTACCTGCGTTGATACTCGAGCACGGCCTCTGGATAAGTTTTACTCTGGCGCTTTTGGATAGTTTTCCAAGACTCTTGAGCGTCCTGAATGATTTTCCGAAGCGGGTGAGGATCATCGAGGGAGACCATGGGTAGGACTACTAGAGGTGTTGTTGTTTCGGCGGCTGGGCTGGCCGAGGGAGTGGTCTTTGGTGACGTGGATCGGAATACGCACTGGTAGACTAAGACACCTGCGACAAGCAAGAGCAGTGCTTGGTATTTAGGCATCCGCAACCGCCGACGGAGGGTTTTTACCCGCAAGCCAGTGGCGATTTTTTCTTCCTCTTCAACATTGGCCAGTTGGCTGAGGTAGGAATGTACTCGAGAGAATGAGGATCCTCGGCTGCCGAGCCGCCGGTGACTGAATCCGATTAGATGATCGTGACGGAGCTTCGGACTCAGTGGGAAGGTGGAAGGTTCGTCTGACTTACTGTGTTTTTGCAGATATTTTATTACAACAAATCAATATTTGGGGTTAGTAGTAGAAGTCTCGGGCTATCTCCCATTACTTTCAATCACTTGCTGGACTGACAATAGGGATTCTACAAGCGACGATTTCCTACTGCCACTGCTTTCACTAAGAAGATAGATGTCAGACATCTTGAGCACGGCGTTACTACCGCGTTGATGAACTGAAGATGGTTGAGATAGACGTGATTGGTGGTATGAATATTAAGATCTGGTATGTGTTCAGGTTAGGATTGAAGTTGATGCTGAAGTGAAGTGTCTTTTTTCGAAGGTATTATTAAGGACTTGCTCTCAAGAATAGAAGAATAATGAATGATGGAATGATGAAGCAAGCAGAGATGATTGCAAAGATTATGTTCAAGTCTTCTTGAAATATTTTTTTGCCGTTTCTTCAGTTTCCATCTTCAATGAGCGGTATCGTGCTCAGTCAATCCTGACTGAATGGCATGGTTGCAATGCCAGTTCGCTCTCAGATTCCCTACCAGTCAGCACAGTTCCATGAGCTCGGTTATGTCAACGTTTGCATGTAAATTTCGCTATGAGGTAAGAGACGAACTTAACACAAGTCCCTCCCTGGGCCCGAAGGGCCGCCTCCCGTCAGGGAGGGACTTGCACATAATGTCGCACATCTGGGCTGAGGGCATCCAGCCAAATGGCCGGATAAATCACAAAACACCCCATTTCCCCCACAAGATGACTGTTGTTAGGGAAGCCGAGCGGGACATAGACTCGCATGATTTTTTCTCATTTTTTCCATGTTTCTACTTTCCTACCACTCCTCCTCAAGCCAAAGATATTATGCTCGATCAAAAATGAAAAATACAAAATCTGATTGGACCATGACCGGATATTTCCCCTCCGATGTCCGGTCTCACGCCCTCATGACAACCATGTCATTGAGCCTCGGAGTCTCACTCTCACTCGCATTCATGCTGTCAAAGAACCTGTCAACTACGACATAACAAGTTTTCTAAATTCCGATCCGGTCATGCGAGCACGATCCGACTATCTGAACCAGAGGAAAAAATTGGCATTTATTACTATTTGCCAAGAGTTAACTCCCAAAGCATGTCCTCCTTCAAACAGATCGGAGGTGGCTCATTTTTGATGCTAAAAGATTAATTTTTTTTTTAAACAAAAGCCAAGATGCAAGGCTCACCTCCGGTAACCTCATTTCCTTAGAAGGAATTGAGGTTTTGGAGGCAAATCACTTTGAAGTTTAAAAGTGTGAAATTTCAGCCTTAAACCTTATGACCTCAGGCCGCGAGGTCGATTTATCATGTAAGCCTCTCCTTCGGAGAGCGTCCCTTCGGGACGCGGGGTCCCATCGGGACCCTCCGATCGAGAGGCTTTGTTAAGCTCGGGTAAGAGAGTAGATGGTGATGTGCAGGACAGGTTTAACCGGGACAATGAATGAACCGTAATAATACGCGTCCAGATGATGTCCAGCTCAAGTTGATTCACTCGTGGGCATTATGTACACCACCGGGCGTGGTGGATGGCATTTGGACATCCAATCGGATGTACCAGATGCCATCCGACCTTGGCCCTGCAAGGAGCATCCATTGGATGCGACTTGCATATTGCTGAACCCGGATGTAGGGCCAAACCATCCATCGGATGGTAGGATTAGAAAGCCCTTGGGGGCAAAAATGCCAGGCCTGGGTTTGAACCCATGACCTCCAGGTGGTGCCACCAGTAACTCCACAGACACCACGGTCATTTGCGTGTCGCCGCGGATGTGACCGTCACCTTGACGAATCCGCGTGCGTGACTGCGGCAGTAGGCGCAGTGACTGCGCACGAAACCCCCAATGAAACCCCCAGATGGCGCTCCGCGCGGGAGCGACATGCAATTGTCCGTGGTGTATACTAGATTCTTGATATTCCACTGGTCAAAGAGTCAACTACATAAAACAAGATGCATTTTTGGATGGTTTTTCGACCATCGACCACCTTTTGAGATCATTTTTCGACAATCGACCCTTTTTTTTCCACTGCCGGACCCGGGTGAAAACCATCAATCGAACACTCTGAGAAGTGTCCGATTGATGGTTTTCTTGTTGTCCATCGGACACTCCCAATCAAGTGTCCGATGGACACCGGGCTGTAAACCATCCTCTGGATGGTCTCGACTGCCGAGCATCCCTTGGACGCTTTCTGAAGCGTCCAAATGATGCCAGGCGAGCCCCGAGCGTCCGTTGGATGCTTCGAAACCAGGTTGCGGGCGCTCGGGACGGAATCCATCCGTTTGCTGGGGGGTTTTTCTAAAAACCCGCCCCATGGTGTAAGTATTAGATCAGGATACTCCGGGCGGTTTGTGCCGGACGATACTGCCTACGTGGACAAGGTTGAGTCGGACTAATGGTAGCTAAATCATTCAGAGCTCTCCTCGGGCAGATTTACAGCAGAATCCTCAAATCCCAGCTCAAGCAAGTTTTGGTACACCACCGGGCCAGTCAAATGGCTACACAACCCTCGTTTGAAGGGTTGTGCAACCGTGAGATTTTGCTGAGGGACCGACGGTCCGACAACGTGATAAGGTCGTCGAGTACGGTTGGAGGAACGATAACTTCCCCATGCTCTAACGTTCCTCCAACCGGAAGTCTTCCGGTTGGGTTGCCCATCCGGTGGGTGGTGGATACCTCCCACCGTGTGCTCACCTTTTCTGTGGTGGGTGCAACGCATCACTGATCCGTTCTCCTGACCGGTCTCTCCGACCTCTGGCACTCCGTAGAACTCTTCATCTCACGGATTTGATCCGGACAGATGAATCCAACGCAATTGAGCGGATTCTTCCGCTTTTTGTCTGTTTTGGGATGCAGATCCTTAAATTTACGTTTGATCGATCTGATCGATCGGATCAATCGTTGTGATTATCTGATCGATTGGATCAATCGTTGTGATTTATTTGTAGCTAATCTTCAATTATATGTTTTGTACTTGTTGCTAGTAACTTTTGAATTGACACCATTAAATTGTAAGCATGTTACAGTTAGAATAGAAAGAATGAAATTTTTTTGACTCCATCTGATGAGCCTTTTGTGTTGATGCTCACTCGATCCTTGATCAAGTGTTGTTTCCAGCGCGTCGATCGCATGAGGTGGCCATGGTACGGAAGCCCACAGACGACATCGACCGCGCCATCGCGCCATCGCGCCAAACAAGTTCGTTTTTGACCGATCCTCCAAAGAAATTATGCAAAACTACAAAAAATAGATCACATCATTTCAATAACAGAAGTAGAATTACCAAACACAAATAGAATTACCGGCTTCAGCCGGCCCCATCACTCAATACAACAGCCCGACCTGAAAAAAAAACCATCTGAGGGAGTTTTTTCTCCATCAGATCTCCAGTCCTCAACGGCCCGTTGGCCATTTCCAAAAAGATGGAGTGTGTATGATACTATGTACACATTTGTATGACCGGAAACCAGTCATGGGGTGGTGTCTAGACTCCACCAGACAACTGGTCTTCACCGGTCATCAAATGGAGTACAGCCTGTTGACCAGTCTTTACCAGCCATTGATTTGAGTGTGTGCTCCGTTCCGGTAAAGACTAATCACCGAGAGTGTGTACTCCAGCCGATGACCGGTCTTGACCAACACTAGCTGGAGTGTGTACATACTCCACTAGACTCCACTCCATGACTGGTGTTTACCGACCGAGTGGACTATGTAGTACACACCTAATGGTCGGTCTCTCCTGGTCTTGGAATCCGGATTGAGTACATATGTACATTCCACCGGAGGTCATTGAGTGAAGTACATACTCACATGGACTGTCATCCGTCGGGATCGGTCGGGATCGGTATCCGATAGCATTTCATGTATTTAAATATGTATGTAAAGACTACATATTTACATGCACTCCATTTGATGGCCGGCTTTTGCCGGTCGTTGGGTGGCCGGCTTTTGCCGGTCATTGGGTGGAGCGTGTGCCTTACTCGATGACCACTGAATATGTACTCCACCCAATGACCACTCCATCGATGGAGTGCATAATCCACCGGACGACTGGTCGTTACCGTTACCGGCCATAGGAGTAGAGTGTGTATGTACCCCACCCGCCAACCTTGCCGGTCATTTGGTGAAGTGCATACATACCCCACTCAATGACCAGTAAAGACCGGTCATCGAGTGGAGTGCATATGCAATCCACCCAATGGCTAGTCCTTACTGGTCATTGCACACTCCATCGGATGCCGGTAAAGACAAGTTGGTGGGTGGAATGTTGGTTCAGAGCCGCTGAACAGGTTGATAGGGGATGATGTTGTATGTCAAATTCAAGTAATGTGGGAATGTTTTTGGAGGATCGGTCAAAAACGAACTTGTTTGGCGCGATGGCGCGATGGCGCGGTCGATGTCGTCTGTGGGCTTCCGTACCATGGCTTGTTGAATATCGTCTTCGGTTGGCAGCACAGAGACATCGAGTCGGATCTGATCGAATTTCTTTGGTGAGCCAAAGAAGTACTTATCCTTTCGGATAATCAAATCGGACCATCTAAATATTGTTCACAAAACGTAAAGGAAAAGGTGAATCAAACTCGATCACGCAGAGAGATACCGAACAAAAGGCTTACGCAATGGAATAATCAGCACCTCTCATTTTAAGATACTGTAGTTGTTTATCAATCGGTCCCCATTGAGCCGCCCGAGCAGATGATGTACCCAGAGCATAGATGATTGTTTCCAGTCGCATGTATGCGAACCGAACCTGAGCAATAAGTGGAATTTCATTGGGGGCAAAAAACTCGCCGCCATAAGGCAAATGCTGCTGAATCTGTTGGTTAAAAATTTCAGCATGCAAGTCGTCTTTTATGGTATTCAAAGTTGAATTTCATAAAATCATAACCGCATAAATCATAAGATCATAAAACCTTGTTTGCAGGGGATCTTGGTAATCTGATTATGTAAGCTTTGGCTTTCCCAGCCAAAATGTTTTATGATTATATGATTTATGCACTCTATGATTTCATGCATTTCAACTTTGAATACCATATTTGAAGTGCGAGATTGCTGAGGATTAAATAACTTACATGATTATAGAGCTTTGAAATCGTTGGAACATCTCCACTTGCCGACTTCGAAACACTGTTGGAAACGATGTTCAAAAGCAGCTTATGTGTAAAGGAAAAATGGGACATGATTTAGTGTATGGCTCACAACAAAGCAAGCCGAATGCAATTAGAATGAACTTACACATCCTCAGAGTGTCCCCTTCTCGGATTTGATTGTTTCTTGAATCTGTCCTCTCACTGCCTGGAGAACAGCTTGGTTCCGGTCAATAAACCCTGTAGGCAATAGCGACTTCTTGTCGTGTGCAGAAAGATCAGCTATGAATTTCTATGAGGATAGAAAGTAAATGGTCAATATGTATTGTCAAATCTTAAGTCAGTCTACTTAGGGGAACTGAAGATGACTCACATTTGTCATACGCAAAAGTGAAGCTGCGATTATCTCGCCAGTATCGGTATTATGCTCGAGGCTGTATGTATCCAGCTTGCATTCCATCAGTGTCTTTCGGACAAAATTCCTGAGGTTGGTCTGTGAAATGAAAAATCAACGCCATTACACAATGATAATCCAAAAGGCGACTTGAACCTGTATAGAACTTGACTTACCTTGATGAGATCGCCCAGTCTGATCTTTTGGACTTTTGTAACTCCAATTGGGTGTACGTCTGATGAGCTAGCCTGAGTTTGCCTTGCTTTGCCATGACTTGAGACTGCGCTGTAGACCATGGCAGCTTGTTGATTAGCTGGGCTCATCTACATCAAAGTCCGATATCGCGCTATCAGCAATTGGAAAAGAGTCTAGAGTCAATCAGGAGAAAACCGTACTTGCAATATCTCCTGAGCCACACCAGCCTCAAGAGTACTCAAACTGAACATCTTTTTCAACAAATTGTGGTTGACCTCGTCATCGTTTGAATTTTCAAGTCCCGAGATGGTGGTAGAAGGCTGTTGAGTATGCGAGTGGTCTAGCAAGAGGAGGGAATTCCTAGAATTGGATGAAGTACGATATTGTAGGCTGGATTTGTTTGGATCAACTTCAGATGATCCAGCTGGGTTCATGAAGTCGTTTTCGTCCTCTTCAGGTTCACCAGGGGCATCTTCATCGATGGATGCCGAACCGATCTCCCTTGATAGTCGTCCAGTTTCCCTGCGCTTCTCCGATCCTTGTTGCATGTTACTTCTACAAGAGCCTGGGTCTGAAAGAGGAACAACAACATCAGTTTGACCAACTGTGTTTGAGATCCAATCGTTATGTTTTTTCACCTGGGTTTCTGAAAGTACGATTGAAAGGCAGGGGGTTTATTTGCGACTGGGTTTGATGATGACTCAAGCTGGGAGTTCCAGAAAGAGGGAGATAAGAGGAGACAGAAACATGATCATTTTCTTGGGGATTACCCCATCTAGCCATTGTTTGATTTTGCCAGTGTTGGGATTGAGAATTGGAAGTTGGTTGATTATTACTCCATGACTGATTTGTCATGGTGGTAGAGCAATCAAGACAGAAATAGGACAAGAGGCTGGAGTTGTTTTGAGGGATCGGAATCGAGGGAAATGTGTGGTTGGGAGAGAGAAGAAAAGGTTGCAAACAGAAAATCAAATGAGTTCCTTTTTTCGGGCTGAGCTGCAGTGAGGTGAGTTCATGTTTTTTCACACAGCGGTTGAACTTATTGCGGGCACAGAAACAGCTCCTCTCGTGCAAGCATCCAGGGTCTTTCTTCAAGAATCAACCAAAAAATGGATGACGAGGGTGAGTTTAGATTTCTTTTTGAAAATATCTATGACTCAAGCTGACATGAATCCACCAGGCTTCATACAACACGAGACAGAGAATGGAATTCTATACAGATGTGATGTTTGCGGACCGAAACTTATGCAAGAAAAACAGAAGGTCCAACACAAACGATCTGATGCACACAAAAAGAGAGTGAACGACCGGGACAACTTTCCCTTGCACCACAAAAGCGCCGTTACACCAGATGAAAGACGGGTAGAGGCTCCGATTGAAGACCCAGTGATCGATTCCTTGGATTTTGAACCTGAACAGGATACTTCTCCATCGTTACCAAATTCACCCACCACGATCTCAATGTTACTTATCCAGCAGCTTCAGCAAGACAAGGCAAATGAAGAGAGTTCTAGTGAAGATCAGAGTTCTCAAATCAACTGGAAGGACTGGTTGGAAGTCGAATTAGAGAGGATTCGGGGAGATTTAGACTTGGACGATCCACGTGACGAGTTTGACGAGAATGAGGAGGACGATATTCCTGGACAAGAAGATCAACATGAGTGGACCCCATTTAAAAGTAAAATGGTCAGTAATACGCTTGGAATATTGAAATCACATGAATGCATTAAATAAACAGAAACAATAAGCTAATCTCTACATTCTTTGAACAATCTAGGAGTTTGTCGGATCAATTCTTGTTGGTTATACTCGAAATTTACTTTCCAGGACTTTGTTCGACCTGATACGCGTGATACTTAATGGACTGTGCCAGCTCAAGATCCCTGCGTGGTCTACGATTAGGCGTTCACAGAAAAGGATCAGGGCGCATTTTCAGATGGAAGTTATAATGAAAGACAGTGTATGGGGTATGCCATGTGCAGCCCTCAGTTCAAGATGTGCACTTCAACAGGTATGATACCAATTCAATTCAATCATCACTAGAGACTGTATTGGTAGAACAAACTATTTATTAATTCCATCTTATGATTGTATTCAGGATCTAGCCAACCCTCTTGTAGCACCTTTCATTGATTTTTATCCAGAAGATCCTCAAGGATGTAACCAGTACAAGCTCTCCCAATCGAAAAAGTGGCTTGAAATGCCATCATCATTACGAACACAGATGTGTGTAAATAATAAAAAGCATTTCTACATTTTCGAACCCGTCGAAACTTATTCAAATCAGATTCTAGTTCCAATTTTCCTATACCTGATCAATGGCGAGTTACATGCAAAGTGTGCACTTCCAACACTCAAGAGGATCAGTCATTCAAAATTCCAGTTGGAAATCAAAGGCGACCTCACTTTCAATGACCCAAGTCTTTTTCTTGTTCATACAAAGGAATTCAACAAGGAATACTCTGAAATCAAAATAGATCGTGATCTTTTATCTACGGTGTGTTCGAATGAGTTGTATGGAATGAACAACAATATTTCAGTCAAGATCGACCTACCAAATCCTTGGAGGACTAAAGCTGGAGGGAAAATCTTACGACATGTGCCAATCAGCTTGTATGCTGATGACACTTCTGGAAATATTTCGAAGCGCTGGAATAAACACCTATCTTTTTACTTCACTTTATCTGGCCTTCCTCCGAATCTGTCCAACCAAGAATTCAATTGCCACTTCTTGGCTACTTCGAATCGAGCTGGTGTTTTAGAGTTAGCCGAGATTATTGTTGATGAATTAAAGTATGTAGATTTCCTTCATAATAGCTGTTGGATCCTGCTAATTTCTGTTTTTGAATATTTGTGAACCTTTGAATTTTGATGTAGTGACCTTGCCACCAATGGATTTGAAGCATACGATGCAGCAATTTCTGAGCCGGTTTTTGTCATGACTAGTGTTCTATTCTTTCTAGGGGATTCTCCGATGCACTCCGAAATAACCAACACCCCTTATCCTGGTTCTGCACTTAATCCGTGTCGTATTTGCACACTCTCTGCGCCAAGCCTAGCCGCCAAACATCGAAAGGATTTCATGTACAAATTCTTGCATCTTGATCGACATGGAAACGTGACAAGAAATCGACCCAGAGTGTGGCTAGAAACCGTCAAACAGACTCACAAGCTTTTCAAGGTGGCGACAGAAGATACTATTGCCGCTTTTGACACTCTGTCAAAAGAGTATGGTGTCAAAGATTGGATTAACGAGAAGTTCATCGAACAGCAAGGGATTGCCGAAGTCAAAGCAAAAATCGATGACCTGAAGGCCAATAAATTTTCGCGCTTGTTCAACCCTTTCTTGAGACTGATAGGTCAGCTTCATCATAGATACAGCATTTCTTTCTTGGTTTAATATTGATTGCTTTTCCAATACAGGTTTTGATGGCTGCCTTGACACTCCGGTTGAGATTCTTCACGTTTTTTTACTCGGGGTTGTCAAGTATCTGGTCCACGATTTTGTTGGCAAGCTCTCTGAGAAACAAAAAGACGAACTCGAGGGCCGTATCGAGTCATTCAACACCAGCTCGTTGAATATGCCAAAGCTGCAACCCAAATATCTAGTTTCGCATGTCAAATCATTAATCGGCAAGGAGTTTAAAATCTTCCTTCAAGCTGCTCCATTCATCCTTTTCCCTTTTATGGATGAAGATCAAAGAGAAATTTTGATTTCTTTATGCACCCTCTCTTCTTATGCCTTTCAGACACACATCAATAACATGGAAGATTTCCAGCTCAATCTTCGAAGACACACAGCCAACTTTTTATATCGGATCATACGAGTCACTGCCCAGTGGGTGAACAAACCAAAGTTTCATATTTTACTTCATCTTGCGGATTCCATCCGTCGGTTTGGACCCGCTACACTCTTTTCAACGGAAAAGTTCGAGTCGTATAACGGTGTTCTCCGGACTGCATCAACCCATTCGAATCGAATTTGCCCTGGAAGAGACATTGCAATTAAGTTTGCTAACTTCCATGCCCTACGATTCTCCTTATCCGGTGGTGTTTCATACAATAAAAACAGTCAAACTGCTACTCAATCCTCGCCTGAGCTTCTCGACTTTTTTCGAAACACCAGGTCCATCCAAGACTCAATGGGATATGATCCAACACTTTCCGTCTTAATCCCAAATTATCCTTTTATGAAGAATATCAAGTTGAACAAAGATGACAAAGTAAACTGCCCTACAGCATTACAAGATCAATTTCCAACTCGCGAATTCGAACAAGTATCTTCTCTACAGCTAAATAAACACGAGAATATCAAAAAGGATCATTTTGTTCTGGTATAAATCTCCTGCTTGTTTTCTATGTTTTGAGAATCTAATAAGTGTTTTTTTGCAGGTAAATTCGGTCAGGTCAGGAAAGTATATTGGACAGGTGAATTCCATATGGAAATCGGCAGCATCTTTCTTTGTGCATATCACCAAGATGAAGAGCTCAAAGATGAATGCGTTTTATATGATGAGGGGATTTGAAAAGACAGGTGAAACCTGTTCCATTATGCCAAAAGTAAGCTTGAGTCAGACACACATCTTACATTCCCAAGCATCCTCTTCTGATTACTCCATGTGATTTTTGGCTTTTTAAGGACATCGTTGTAACTTTAAATCTCCAGCACAACTGCCACGATGGAAAATGTCCAATCAAGAAAACAAAGATGGTTCAAGCCGAGAGACAAGATACACCAGTGCGAGTTCAGCAAGTGTGCCATACAGATTCCAAACACTATATTCTCAACTCCGTTTCTTTTCATGAAAGCGAAGAACATCGACACATGAACAACCTGATATTTCATCAAATCGATTCAGAAGATGTTGTTGAAGCAATGTCCGAAGGCCATCTCACATGGAAAGCACACTGTCAAAAAACGATGCCTCGAAAGAAAAAGAAAGTAGGTAAAAAATGGGTAGATATGACATCTGAAGAGGAGTGGGGCTCTTCTGGAGATTCTGAATGAATATCTCTTTATTCTTTGTATTTTTCCTTGATAAGCTTAGAACATCATCTACTCTTTATGCTATTTTGGTTTGAGTCAACAGTGGTAGCATCTGCAATTCATTATGGCAACAATGCCTTGAGACTATTGTTGTGCTTCTCTCAAACAAGGAAGAGCCACCAGTCTTCATCTGACAGATTGTGTAAGTGATAAATTTACTATGGATCCATCAAATCTTTCCAATTCAAAGAGAACAATTTTTGAGTGCAAGTAACATCCAGAGGATGGGTCATGGCTGGTTGAACTTATCAAAGTCCTTCCAAGGCCTAACTGGTGAAAGTTGGCATGCCAGGAAATGCGCGCACTTTGGGCGCACCCAGCTGAAGCACACCACATTTTGTTGTCCGCAAAAATTCAGGTGTGCGCACTGGCGACGACAACCAAAGCTGCAAGCCCCTGGTCGAGCTTAGCGCGATTTCCTTCGGAGGGAAATTGGAATCATGGTCAAGGGTTGGAGAACGGACAGACCATGCTGCCCGATTTCGTTCACCCAACAGTGGAAGGTTCTGTTGGGTGAACGAAATCGGGTTGACAACGTCGGTGGCAAGGGAGCGACCCACCGACAGTCAAACGGTCCTGCCAACCGCGCTCCAACCCACCCGTTCAGTCAACCTGGGCGGATGGGGTGGACCACAGTGCACTATCGGTCATATAACATGGCCGTTCAGCCACTGTGGTCCACCCCATCCTCCAACCAATGGGTTGTATCGCGGTTGGAGGATCGTTGTACATCCAGGATGGTTCCATAACCACCCACCCACAGAAAATGTGGCCCGGTGGTGTAGTGTTGGCAAGAAGAGTGCACCCGTACCGCGACGGATGTGAGTCGTGGGCTTTCCACGAGTCTTTGGAGCGATGTCCAGGCACTGGAATACACCACCGGGCCACTTTTTTTTATTGGGACCATTTGTCCCACAGTTGCGGGTTTCAACCAGCTTCCCAACCATTTGAGCGCCATCAAAGCGATGAGCCGACCCAGATGTGAGCTCTCTGGTGATTCGACCATTGGGCTCATGGTCATGGCCATAGACCGTTGACAAACCTACAAATCGGACTGTTTTTACAACAGTTCACAGAGTTGATCGTTGGAAAAACACTTTCTCCTCGTCAACACAACTTTCGATCTATTCTAGGCTACTTTGGGGACCTGCTTGGAGAGTTCATCAGATGCTGTTTTCTTGAGAAAACTCGTCTCTCTAGTTTTCAAAAAAAGCACAAAAATGACTTGTGATGACCATCGATCAACAAACTTATGATGCAAAAGCTCAGTTTGCCCAGTTCCTCTCATGCTACCACACCAAAAATTTCATGGCATGGAGTTTGAAATGAATGAAAGCTTTTCTTTTCCCCTTATGGTTCTAGCTCAACTGCGCACGGGTAATCAAGCAGGTTTGCATCAGAAGCACTCAGATAATATTTGTGGATGGATTTGAACTTGCTCATTCATGATTCATTTGTTTCTAGATACATAATAATTCGAATGAGTAGGTTAATTTTGGTTTAAGTAATTAAACATCGAGTAGTTCGGAATCTGTTGAAGATGAGTCATCTGATGCAGACGATGTATCTTCTAGCTCTAAATTCTCTTCGTTTTCGTGGTCTGGAGGAGGTACAAGGGTTGGAATTATTGGAATTTGTGATGCCGAATGAATCCACTTCTTATAGCCCTCATCGATTGCTTGAACCATTTCATTGGGTTGAATAGTTGGGACAACCAGTTCTGCCATCTCTCTATGATAGTCGGGCGCATGGAAAGAGGCAGAATTGAGAATGAATTTTTTTTTGTCTGTATGATGGACTTCTTCCGTTTGAGTTATTACACCTTGTCGTTCAACCTTGGTATCCTTAGTCTTTTTGATTGGGCAGTTGTCATCGAAACAATTATGCTGAAGATTGAGAGTGGCTAAGATGGCCTAAGAAAGAAAGACCTGGTCAAAAAAGGTAGTGTGATACCGAGTAAAAATTGAAGAAAATAACAAACCTTTGAGTCAACCGAGGATGAATCATTTGTTTTGATGAATTGCCTCATTTCATAGAAGGGATGTATGATTGACTTTGATAGTTTGGTGATATGCACGTAATAGTTCGAAGAAACCTTCCATAGGGAGTTGACAAATCCGATGGACTTCACATGAGTTATTGGATGTTCGATCTGTAAAAGAAAACAGTCAGAACGATTTGAAGCAAAACCAAATTAAAAATAGAAAATGAAAATGATATATAAAATACCAGAATAAAAGATGATTCTTGAACTGCTTCATGTTTGTTCAGCTGCAGATCAAGTATCTGTCGAAATTCTTGATCAGGAAGTCGTCGTTTTAATGCAGTTGGGGGGTCCACTCTATTGTCCTTTTGGGAGGCAAACTTGTTATGGAATGGATAGCGTATAATTGTATTGGAAAGGGAAGGATTGTATCCCATTGACTTCTGTATGGTGTGATTGGTTCGGAAAAGGTTCAGCAGTACTGGTGAGGATGTAGAAGTAGATTTAGTAGTTTCATCATACAAGACACCTCCAGAAAATATAAATCGTAGTGAATGGAAATTGCAGAATTTGACAGCTATGTCTTGACCTGGAGATTGTCGGTTGGTGTGAACTGATGCATTCCTAACGACTCCATTATATGATTCAAATTTTTCAGTCGCAAAAAGAGGTGCAGGCCCAAATCGTAAGATTGATTGAGGAAGGTGAAGAAGCATATGAAACTTGGGCTTGTTAACCCACTGCCCACTGGATTTAACTACATAATATAGAAAGGCTCCTATATATTTTTTGATATTTATTTGGAATTCATTCATGTTGGCAATACGGGTTTGGAATGCGTAAGAAGATAGGAGAGACAATGAATGCCAGAGTTTCCTTTGATCGGCATCCATGAAAGGGAAGAATATAAATGGAGCTGCTTGTAAGAAGATCTTGAACTCTTTACCAACCAAAGATTGAGCATGGGTAGTAAGATATTTGGGTTGTAGAGAGGGGATGTTCAAAGAACCGGTGTTGAAAGACTGGATGCGTCCGTTCAGTTCTAATTTCTGTTTTGGTTTCAAACTCTTGATAAAATCTCGCACTAAATATTTCTCAACCCCAAGCAAGAAAACATGTAAAATTTCGACGGGTGTGTCTAAGCAGCCATCGAAACCTAAGATAAATTTCACAAAGCAGAAAGTCAACTAACTGGAAAATTGAAGATATTAAATGTAAAATGAAGTGAAAGAACCTTTTAGTTTCAGAAATGAATTGAACAATCTTGTAGAATCTTCCTTTATCAATTTCTTGATTCTCTTTTTAACCTTCTTATCTTTCCTATGTTCAATAAATTTCCGATTCATTGAATCCGTGAGACCCCACTTGATAGACATTTCGTTGAACTCCTTGATCGTTGAATGATTGGTTAGGTTGTAGAGATTATAAGTGCGTGTCACGCTTTCGTCCCAGTGTCGGAGTGTGTTTGGTGCTGAGTTGCCATTTGAATCGACTTCAAGAAACCTTTGTATGTAGAGTTTGGTATTTTTCTCGACCCTTTTTGAAACTGATAGAGTGCAGAATCGACATGGATTGAGAGCTGCACTTGGACAGGGGGTGTTGGTTATTTCGGCATGCATAGGTGAATCTGCAAGGAAAAATAGAATAGTGCTCATAACAAATACTGGCTGGGAAATGGAAACGTCGAAGGCCGTGAATCCATTGGTAGCAATATCACTACCATTGAAATCAAATCAGAACAATAGGATGTGTATAAGAAATATGGAAGTAGTTTGCTTACTTCATCTCAGTCACAATCTGTTCAGCCACTTCCAAAGTTCCTGCCCGATTTGAAGTTGAAAGGAAGTGACAATTGAACTCCTGGTTTGAAAGATGGGGCTCAAGTCCAGATAAGGTAAAATAAAAGGAAATGTGTTTATTCCAACGTTTTGATAGGTTCCCCGAGGTGTCGTCAGCATACAAGCTGATTGGAATATGCCGAATTATCTTTCCGCCAGCTTTGATTCTCCAAGGGCTTGGTAACGTAATTTTCTTGATTCTCCTGTCTATGTTGTTAGTCTCGTATAGTTGATTACCGCAAAGAGATGATAGTTTCTGTCCATTCCTCTCGATTTCCAAGTATGTTTTCTCAAAGTTTTTGACTGCAATGACCTTAAGATTGGGGTCATCAAAAGAGAGATTTTCGGGGATGTAAAATTTTGTTGAAGATGGAGTGTTGTGTTCTTGATGGGGGATAAGACATTTGGCATGTAGTTCGGAGCTTATAGTGTAAATGAAAATAGGAATAACTATTTCCTTGGAATACATTTCAAGGGGTTCGTAGATGTAAAAGTGTTTTGTATTGTTGATGCACATTGGAGTTCGCAATTCTCGAGGCAAAGATGCTAGCCATTTTTGTGATTGTGAAAGCTTATAAATGTCCAAGCCTTTGGAATCCTCGGGATAAAAGTCTAGAAAAGGGGCAACAAGCGGATTGGACAACTCCTACATGAAAATTTGGATTTATTATCAGTACTTCTGATCTTGGAAGTTTGCTCCTGAAGTAACTAAGATCACCTTTTGAAGAATATTTTGCAAGCTAAGGGCTACACATGGCATTCCCCAAGCGCTTCTAACCATACTAATCTTCATGTCAAGATGTTTTCGGATCCGTTCCTGAGCTCGGCGAATGGTTGACCAGGCCGGTATCTTTAGTGGCCAGATGGAGAAAATGGATCGGGTTCGGTCATACATTTCCCTTGAAAGGAGATGGCGGGTGTATCCGATTAGGAGTGAGCCAAGCATCTCCTTTAAAAAAAATTCAGCAATGATACATACAAATAGCCCAGTTGAAATATGGATTGAGAATCAAGCTGACCAATTTACTTTTGAATGGAAACCATTCATCCCCATCAATAGCCTCGTGATCTGAGCAAATTTCTTCTCCATCAGTTGAGTGATCTAACGATAAATCCCCGGCAGCATGTTCCATCTCGTATGAAAGCCAGTGGTCCCAATTAATTCCTTCCTCTTTGACCTCCGATTCATACCCGTTACCTTGATCAACTTGATGTATTGCTTCAAGAGTTTCTTCCAAACCGGGGGATGCTGGAACTTCAATCTCATCTAGTACAACAGAGCCCTCTATGGTGTCCTGCATCGCCACTATCGAGTTGGGTTGTGTTTCTCTTGAGATTTCTGGATGGATCGAGTTTCCTGCACAAAGACTCTGGAAAACTTTGACCTTTATCTTATGAGATTCACGTTTCTTGTGGGATTCTTTGCTGCGTTTGTTCATTTTGCCAGAGTTACATGCCATGCATTCAAAGTGGGCTCCATCGATAGTGGTAAATACTACACAAGGACAGTGTATTCCTTCATATCAGTATTTCATTATCAAAAAAAGTTTGAAAGCATAAAAATACAAACTTTCTTGCATCTTGAAAGGTTTTGAGGATTTATGATTAGCTCGAGAGGATTACTCATAAGCAAACTTGGCCTCTCAAAAATTATGTCATGATCGGGATTTGAACACGTGACCTCACAGAAAGGACTATGTACCCACAAAATCTGCCTGTCAGATACAAATGCACAGTACGTGCCTTGTGTTTCATTGGCCTGTTTGTAAGGCCATGTCACTACTGACCACAATCTTGACTAGAGTCTGCCCTATGGGCATGGGAATCTGGAGAAGTGGCTGATCAGTCTGGCTCACTCCGATGGGTGGGCATACCTTTTTGCCTCCTTTCCATGTCTCATGGGCAACAAATAACACCGAGCTCTATTTACTTAATGGTTTTTTACCACTTTTAGACTTAAATAGAGAATTTCAATTGCACAGCTCGCAGCTGGCCTCTAAATTCAATCAAAAGAGACCCTTGAGACTCAGTCAAAATCAATGGCTCATCCGACTTGATCGAAGGAACTGCGATCACTCAAATCATCTGCTTTGTTTGTTTTGTAAGTTCAACAAACCCTAATACAAAATATTCCTTGTTTCCTGCCTGAACATACTTTGATTTCCAGTAAAAATGGCCGGGACAAAGAAAACATCCACTGCAGTACGATCGGCTGGATCCCAAAGTGGTCGTAGATCTCAACCTTATCAAAAGCAACCTGAAGCCAAAAAATCTCAGTCACGTAAAAGCCCCACCAAAAAAGCTCAACTTGCTGAAACCCAAGCCTCCAAATCACAAGTCCCCAGCCAAGCCATCCAATCAACTTCTCAACAAGCAAATAAACCTGGGTCAAGTCAACTTCCGCAATCAAAAGATCGACAAAAATCCATTCCCCACAAGAGGGTGATTCCACCATCCACCTCTCAACATGCCAACCGTTCAAAATCAAAAGCATCAACCAAAGTTGCCAAGAAGCCTCCCCCAAAGTTGTGTAAGTCCCTCTTTGAATAATCAATTGTCTTGATTCAGGAATTATTCTGATCAATTGTTTTCCTAAAGGCCCGCCTCCTGAAAGCGATGATTACATTGAGACATCGAGCAAAACTAACAAATCATCTAGTCAAGAATCCAGTTCAAATGAGGACAATCGAGAGGAAGAAGACGAACATGAAGAAACAAATTATTTCAAGCACCATGAACTTCCCCGCATAAACGAGCTTGGTGAAATTGAATTGATGGAAAAAGAACATGTATCAAGCGAATATCATCAATCTGACAATGATCGGTTACCCAATTTCAGTCCCGACCTTGGATCCAACTTGGGATGTACAGATGAAATTCAACACGATAAGCTTGGAAGCATTTTTGATTTGAATGATGCTGAAAAAAACCGTGCCAAAGAGATACTCAGTGTGAGCTCAGTTGTAATCTGGTGCTGTAACTGAATTTTTACCAATTTTTTTCTCTTGTTTTTGAATCAGTTGAATCCGAAAAGCCAAAAGGCTGCCCTTGTATATCACATGATCAAGATCGAGTCAAGGATTGAGAAGGTCGAATTTGGTATGGACCCACAACTCCAACCAGCCAGAACGATCCCTTCAGATCCAACTTCACCTGCTTTAATCAAGGGTTATTGCTTTGATGAATCGGTGAAGGTCTGTAATTTCTTGACTTCCCACCTCCCCCTCCAAATTTGACCGATTCTGATATATATCAAACCTGATTTCACAGCTTACAATCAAGGAATTTGCCCGCAAAGCATTGCTAGAAGGCAATATTCATTCCTATAGCTATCGATCTAACAGCCAGGGGGATGTCATTGAGAATTCTCTCCTTGCTTTGACTAGCGTCAGTGTCTTAAAAAGTTGCTATTCTCAATTTTTCATACTACTAACCAATCGGCTTTCCCTCTACAGAAGTCACTTGTAGATAGCAGTCCAGCATTTAAAAGGGATCACCTTCCTCCAGGATTTGCTGGTAATAACTCTCGCTCAATGTCAAAGGTTTTTGGCCTGGTTTCCGAAATGTTGAAAACTGATCGCAACACCTTGCGTGGATGTGTGAGTTCCAAAGAAGCTACATCACAATTGGAGTTTATCTCATCTTGACCAAGGCTTGTGTTACGTAGTTACTTGAAAACATAAAAACCAGTAGTATCCATAAAGAGATCAAAGGCCCCGTTCCCAACCTGACCAAACTAATCTCACACGTAAGTTCTTTTCATATAAGCTTACCAACAGATATCTATTGACCAATTCCATTGGCTTTGTTAGATTATCAAGGCCTTCTTTCCAAAGGAACAAGCCTTTCTGGGAGCGTCCTTTGACCCAGCTCATGTGCCTCAATCTAGAACACGAATTGCGTACTTGCGCCTTGAGACCATACGATATGTGTTTGGAACCGAAAAAACAAACAGTGCTCAGTGGGACTTGATTGATCCCCAATTGGAGTTTATCAGAGGGCAGTCAATGGATTATTATCGAGCGTAAGGCTTTTCCTTGGATATTCCAAACATTCGTCTTCCTGACATCTTTCATTTATTTACTGATTGAGCAGATGGTCTGAACTCATAATCCAAAAAGATGATGAACTATTTGGCACCGGTCAACAAGAATTTGAGAAATTAGATGAGGAGGAATCCTTTCTACCTACGCATGAAGATGTTCTTGAACTTCAAGCTGAACATCAAAGAGACCGAGAACAACATAATCGACATTCCTGAAAATCTTTTTCTATAATCATTATATGTTGTAGAACATTGTACGCTGTTGTTACAGTTTTGTATTGTACCATTAGTTAAATATGTATATTTATGTACTTGCAAGTACTTTCAAACAAACACTGCTTGTCAGGATGCCCCGAATAATCAACCCTGAGGGCATAAAGTTCAGGCCAATTGAGCCTAGACAAAAAAGTATGGTCCACCGGGTCTGGTGAGTAAACCAAGGGAAAAACGCTGGGCCAACGCTGTGCCAACAGCTTGGTTGGACCAACTGTTTTCCAAACACACATGATTACCAGATCCCAACGGTTGCCACTGCGGGTGGTGAAACCATCAGACAAACGGGCCTGCAAACCTCCAGCTGCCGATTAGGTGCGCCCGTGGTGTACTGTGACTTTGAAGAAGGACGCGTCTGAAAGAACGTTAAATCATAGTCAAAAAACCATTATGGTAAGACATGGCCGTTCATAGGTGGGCGTACAAAAAGCAAGGGCAGAAACGACTTCAGTTTTTTTGGGGGAAGCGCATACATATGTATGTAAACATTTACATAAATACATACATTTATATACACTCAATCATTGACAACAGAAAAAGAAAAAAAAAAAACTTGGTAACAGAAAATGAGCGAAGATGAAAGAAGGACGCAGGACTTGGGAAGCTTGGAGGAGTGAATTTTGACGATTGACTACATTAGATTTGTTCTTAGTATCTTGTTTCAGAGGAAATGTATTATTCTGAGTGGGTGTTTGTAGCCTTGAATCACAACGCAATGGTGATTGTGATGGTTTTTCTAAGAGTTGTTGACAGTTTTTTGAAGGTATTAATTAACAAACCTCTGGAAACGACTACATATTTTGATATGAGCATTGGAACCAAGTGGTCTGGTACGTCTAAATAAGCGATCGGAGAGTGAGAGAGAGAGATCCGAAAAAGATAAGAAAAAGTCTAACTATCCAGCGTTAACGTAAGTCTGTCTGATTTTATTTAACCGGCTGATGAAGTGGTTATACAAGTTGTCTAAGTTTGAAAGAGTTTTATCAGCTTCGACGGATTGACAAAGCCCTCGAATCTCGCGTTTCATCAATCGTAATCGGTCCGGACTCGGCTTGGGATCGGAGTATCGATAGTTTTTCTTGAGAGCCGGGGTCTGCTCTCGTAAAGGTTTGATGAGCTTCTTGAGCTTCTTGAGCAGATGCATCTTCCAATCTGTTTTTTGTCCGTTGTCCATCGTTTTGTTTGCGGGGTAATCGGTGCAGCAATGCGGATTTGATCGATTTATAAGAGAGTCAAGTTGACAAGGTATGGGAAAAAAAAAGACGACCATTAGCGTCCGAAAAGGATAATCGAGAAACAAAAGGGAACAGGAGATGGGTCAAGGCAGAGAGAGAGAGAGAGATCAAGGAAAGAGGCAGGCGGAGACCAACGTTTGAAGAAATGATACTCCATAGCCCGTTTCGCGCAATCTTCCCCAGAAATCAATCTGGCACTTTTCTTCGTGATATGCATCAGATCTGGATCTAATTTGAATTTGTGCTGTTTGCCTTCATCTTCTTCTATCTCCGAGTCCCACTCATCATCATCTTCTTCATCTTCATCTTCATTGCCAGTCTCGGAACCGGACTCAGATGATCTTTTCGGCTTGATTGGATTCAAATTGTATGGGTTGTACGGTATACCCTGTGTGGTTGATTGATTTCGAAAAGCGAGAATATGTCAGTTGATTCATTTGGACTATTGTGATTATTATCAACTTAGAGGGGAAAGAAAGAGACTGACGGCTAGTAAGAGGATCTTCCTACTGAATTTGGTTCGGTTGCGACAAGCCCCACATCCTTTGCCGCCTTGATGGTTGTACTGTTCATAGATGTAAGGTCGGCTCATCAGTTGAGTTCTAAATTTGAGGGTCCAGCCCGATGACCTATATCGCACACACCAGCACAAAAATGAGTAGAGATAGTCCGTGATTAGCGATAGAGCCTTTAATTCTCATTCACAGTCTGGGAGGGGAAACTGATAAGCTGGACGTGACGCTCGTACTGACTCCAAGGGTTGCACGCCGTATGAATGGAAATAAGTTTCCAAATGTTTGCAGCTTTGGTCATAATCCTCTCTACCTGTAATCAAATAAAATAAATGAGATTTGTAAGGTCAATAGGTTAACATGCTTTTTTTCTTCTTCTGTGGGAAAGCAAGTTCACAAAATACGCGTTAATAAATGAAGGCAGAAAACTCACATTGCCTCCAATCGATTTGAGGAAGTATAATATGGTGGATGAGGTATTCACCTACATGAGTCGAATAGCATTGAACGTGAGAGGGGTAAGCTTAGAGGCGAGAAGGAGAGTTTTATGGGGTATTTGGAAGATAAGGAAGTACTGACAGACGACCATGAAATGAGTGCGATTATCTAGCTTGCCGCTTCTGAACATCACCGGCATGTAGGTATCGATTCGTCTTTGGGCTCGGTTCTTTTGGGCAACAGTAGCCAAATCATCGACGATGAACTCTTCCTGCTTTCTTTCGCGCTCTGCCTCATCCGTTTCACTTGAGCCATCCTCGCTACTACTCCCACTCTCACTCTCCTCTTCGCTATCATCATCATCATCATCGTCATCATGCGACTTTTCAGGTTTTGTCGCGCTTTTCGACGGGGCCCCTTCGACCTCGACGTCCGAATCCGGCACGATCCTCTTCGAATTTACCTCCTTGTTAATCGATTTCTTCTTCTTTAATTGCTTTCGTAACTTCCTTAATTTAGCGAATCGTTTTCTCTCAACCGGTTCTCGCTCCCTCAACTTGGTCTCCGGCTCTTCATAATCTGAGAGTACAATATCACCTATATCTGAGTCTTCATCTGGATCCGGGGATTCGTTCTTGGATGGTCTTTTCTTCTTGACGGCTGCGGGCTTGGAGGTTTTCGCGGATTTAGATGATTTTGATAAGTGAGCTTTTTTCGGCTTTCTTTCGACTGCCTGGATCGGTGAAGAGTGATTTGATTTAATTTTCTTTGATGAGGATGATTCTGGGAGTTCTGGATCTTTCTTCTTACTAGTCGTTTTTGACTTGACAGGCTCCTCAAGTTTTTGATCGGAGGGATCAGTCTTGAAGGTATCGAAGATCTTCCCGTTGGCAGGTTTGAATCTGTCCAAGTCAGGCCGGGATGGAATGACTACTTTGATGCTTTGGTTTTCGGGTGTCGCTTTCCTCTTGGAATTGGTTGGAGACATCGTTCCTCTTTCTGGTTGGTTCTTGGCTATGTTTTGTTATTCCAGTCCTTCATGACCGTCGACTGGATTTTTATGATTTATCCCATTGCAGTCCAAGATTTTCCTATCCGAGGCCCAGTCTGATCCGGACTCACGGATCTCATCAGGCATTCTGCATAAGGATGGAAGCGGCAATATGCAAGTCCAACTGAGCATCCCTCCTAAATCTGCTCTTGCTTTTGGATACATGACTTCAACAAGCTCATCTCTCAAAAGGAACTGTGATCTGGCTGCCTAGCAGCGAGCACCAACAATCTGGTTTGCCCAGAACTCTATCAGCAATATCTGAACTTTCTAGCTCATGCTAACAACAGACATTAGAGGCTCACTAATCGAAGAAACTAGCTGGAACTTGAGTGGTCTCTTTAACTTCAAGTGATGAAAAAGATCTTTCATAGAAACGAAAATATAAAAAGCTTTCAACGAAATCGAACAAATAGTCTTACAACAGCTGGCAAATCAGTGACTACGCACAACCCATCTATGATACAGAGCAATTATTGGTCGCAGGATAGGCTACATTGGATATATTATACATTCCTACTCTTCTTCACTAATTGTTTCTAGCTTCTGGTTTGGCTTATATTTTGGAAGGCTCGGTCGTTTTGAGGAGACTTTCACTTTGCTACCAGAGGTTTTTTTGGGCTTGGCTGAGGGGCGGGATTTGACAGTTCGAGAAAGGAGCTTGCGGGTGCGTCTAGGGGGATCCTGAGATGAAGGCAAGGGTTTTGTCTTCAGTTTGCTGGGTGGTTTGGGGGTGGGTGAGGATGGGTGCGAAGTTTTCAGCCTTTTCCTGGAAGAAGAAGAGGAAGATGGCGTCGGGCTCTCAGGATCTCTGCTCTTGCCAGTGATCGTCCAGTCTAGCTCTTCATCCGTTTCGGAATGCTCTGATGGCGTCGATGGGATGTCCCAAACCACCTTCCTGCCGCTCGGTTTGGGTCGGATCACCCTGGTGCCTTCGTTGCTGCTCGGTGTGACTCGGGCGACCTTGCTACTGCCGCTCGTCGGTTTGAAGCGTTCTAGATCTGATCGGGTGGGGATGACTACTTTGGAGGCAGTCTTCTTGCCAGGTGGTGATTTTCTCTTCTTGCCTTGATCAGCCATCTTTAGATTCTTGGTTGCTGTTGGCTTTTTTTTTTTCTTCGCGAGTTCAAGGTTCTGGTTGGCTTTGGGCGGGTTGGGAGGGGTTTGTAAGTTGAGGGGTGGGAGGATTATTAAATGCAACTATGTACTCAGTCTAAAAGTACTCAGCCCATCTCATACATTGCTCAGCCGGATCCATTCTCCTACTCCGGTTTTGTGGGGTCCGGGCCTTCATAGTATGTATATCACTGGCGATGAGTACTTGACCATATCCGACGATGGCTATTGACGCGTCAGGACAATCCGAAAACATTCATCAATTTCACTAATGCGGCCAATTGATATAAATGCCACTCATGATGTGTTTGTGTCCCTACACTCACCGACTGGCTTGTCTACACAATCATTCTGATGGAGCAAAAATATCTCTAATCAGAACTTATATGTCTGTTCCATTTGAAATTAAGCAAATCAATTGGGAACAGGTGAATTTCTACCCCTGCTACGCGCCTTATTTCACTTCACCAATAACAAAATACTTGCGGTCCACTGATCAAAAGGTGAGATGAAGGGCCTGTATTATAGTAGCAAATTTTCAAAAATTGGAAGTTTTTTACCAATCTTGCAAATTCAAATCCAAGACTAACATCACCATCACTAGATCACGAATTGATATCAATTTCCATACACCAAAAGGTTAATTGGTGGCAATATTGTTCCCTTGAGATTGGAAAAACAACACCAATTTTTGAAAATTTGCTGCTATGGTACAGGCCCTCAAGGTTGGGAAGTGGATACAATCACAAACAATTACAACGTGCACTGCTATAAGCATAAATACAAGACTGATACACGCTTGATGGATAAGAAGCTCATTTATATCTTTCAGAGGAAACACATATTACAAACAAACTTTGTCAAACAAGACACTCAAGAAGCAGGGATACACATAAACATCAAAATATACACGGGTCCTGTCTTATTTATTTTCGTTTTGGTCGCCGATGCAAGGACCTCTTCTTTCAGCTTGAAAGTTCAAGATCTGAAAGAAATTGCAGCCTTTACCCGAGTTTTGTTGGCCGGCTTGACAATGCCAAAAGAACTGAAACTCAGCATGATCGGCGGTTGTGGAGGCAGAAGTTTCCAGGCGAGGACGGGCGCGAGAAGCAGCCACTTTTCCCTTCTGATCCGCTCGAAGGATTGCAGGAATTCCACATCGACATCTAGGTGTAACACACACTTCAGTCGAGTCTTGTTGATTGGGGTTTGGACCAGAGGATAAGGAGGAGGAAGATGCATTGCGGATCGGGATTGATCTAGATGGTCGAAAGTCAGGTCGATAGAACCTGAAGGTGATATTGATACGTTCGATCCGAGTATCAGTTGGCTGGAGTGGATTTTTGAATACGTCCAACGAGGGTTGCGGAGGAATGCAATGTTTATAACGTTCCTGACAGCCCCCATGCATCACTAACAGCGAATTATGAGGCAAGCTCATCGAATACGTTCTTAGGGGCTCTGCTGTCTCTGTTTCAAGGATATTGGCTACTGGTCGTAGTCTGAATTGACGCGTCGTGCCCAAGGAAAGTGAGGCAATCGTTGGGTATGGGCCTAGATAAGTGAGCTGTTATGGTCAGGTTCCAAAGAAAGATCAGCCACGATTTTGATTCTTGTGTGCCAATCGTGAAATCGTCCACGCTCAACTTGATCGGCATGCCAGCCAACGTTTTCCTTGCTACCTCGATAGCAATTTGACGCGGCTACGTTGGCTCTCCATGGTCCATCCCACTCTTGATCATAACGTATGATGGGGTTCGATTTCGAGCTCCTTTGTGCTCGTAGTAGTGTCTCTGGATCGTTGATCAGAAGTAGATTGACGATCGATTCAATTATATGTCGGGCTTCGTCCATCTCATCTGAGAAATATCTCGGTTGAGCATCTGCTTCTAATGGTTTTCCTGCATACCAATATTGAGCTGACTACAGAGAATTTGAACATTTTTGAGAATTGAAGGCTAATGATCTGCAATTTGTCTATATTGTTTTGTGTTTGGCTCACTTCATTATAATCATCAACCAGGGATTCAGAATCGGTTGGCTTGGCGATGAAGAAAGCAGTAGAATGTGGACTTTGGACTTCCCGATCAGCGAGCCACCATCGATTTCTAATCCAAGGCTTCTTACTCATTCCCTCTCCTTGACAATCTTTGATCATACGTTCGTAGAGGTTCCACGCTAGTTGTTTGGGAAGGATACCATGAAGGAGACTACAGCAGGGCAAATGTTCAGAAATTTGTTGAGGGGATGAAAGAAATAATGGTGGAAGAGTTGTCCGTTTGGTTGATTTGGATGATGATGCATGTGGAGAGGATTGACTTAGTACTTCTTTGATCGGTCGTAAGGATGGTGCTTGTTTGAATATTGGAAAGTCTGGTGTTGTAGAAGATTTAGGCTGTGACTCCGGCATGCGTTGGGGCGCGTTCCGCGCGGATGGGTTTTGATCACCGGCGCCAGGATGGGAGGTATTTGGATGATCAGCTGGTTGATTGATACTGGAGCCAGTTGGACATGATAACCATGACTGGAGGGAGCTGGATTTGGACTTCTTGTTGGAGGTGAAATTATCTGGGGATCTCTGGCGGGCTGACTTCTGAGAGTGAAGATTGGTTGGATCGGTCTCCGGTCGACGCGACTGAGCCGATATAAGGTAATCGATTGTTGCCTCTAAGTTAGATTCGTTCGTTCGTAGTGCTGCCTCAAGTTCTTCACAGTCACGGTCCTCGAAGATGGAGGCCAAAGTGGCAATCAAACCATCTCGTGAGGGAATCTCAGCCTGCTTGTGGTTTTGAGCATGATTGTTAGTGATTGGGTTGCTTGAACTTGAGAGATTGACCATGCTGGCGAAGGAAGAAGAAGGGGAAGAAGATGGTTTCTTGGACTGCCTGGCCCATTCCAGATATCTCGGAGAGCTGGGTTCCCCCGCACCGGGAGTGGATCTGTCCGAGTGGATGCTCGATGATGACCCGGGGGAGACAGCATGACCACAGGCCCCTCAGGGCCTCGACCGCAAGTGTCGCTTTGGGGGGTAAACATCCAAGGACAGTTCACATTTGAATAAAGTCTTGTTGATTTCAGATAAAATTTCTGCCTGCTGGCTTCAAAAAAAAATTGAAAAATTGGCAGACACACGGGCCAATTTTGGGCGTGCCAACTCAAATAGCTCTGCTGGTTTCATGTAAACATTTTGCTGAAAATTTTCAAATCTGAACTGTCCTAACGGAGGGACTCAGTGAAGACAAAGAAAAGCCAATTGGTTGATCATGCTTTTTTTCAAGATTCACTTATCTTATGTAGAAACCTTTAGTAGTTTCTGCCACTGGCACACAATTGATCACCTGATATGTTGTAGCCTACAAAACAGGAAAATGTTTGCTGCAATAATGAAAATGCAAAACTTGATACACTGAAAAGAAAAAGAAGACAATTAAACACCAATTGATAGAAGAACTAGAAAAACTAGGACTCTGGTATTGAAGTTAATAAGAAGGCCAATAGAATAGAATTGGGTGATATTGATCAAAATGAAGAATGTGAATAAAAGAAAATAAGGAACCAGGTGTGTTGGAATTTCACTGTTGTCTGATCTCTCTTCATTTTATCATGCCTTTCACCTGTTGGTGGGTACCTGCTGGCAGGTGCCAGGTGTCCAAATTGAGTGGAATTAATGACATTTACCTGGTCATAAACCATGTTTGAAACAGCCACTGAGTGACTGCTTGTGACTGTTGGTGGGACCTGTAACCTGCCAGCAGTTACCCACCAAGGTGGACAAGTGCCCAAATCTAGGGGAGGGTGTGGAAATGGTGGGCGGCTAAGCTATTGGAACACTCACTGTTAGTGTAGTGGTAATTTTTTCACAAAGAAACATGTAGTGTTAGTGCAATGTTAGTGTGTTTTTGCTACAGACTGCTAACAGCCGCTTCAGGGCCAAAGTGCTGCCTACCAGTGTGTTAGTGTAGTTTAGTGGGTTCATTTTGGGGGCCTGCACTTGTAGTTTAGTGCAGACGTGGTAGAATTCCGCTACAATACACTAATGTTTAGCGGAAATGCACTACACTAAGCTACACTAACACCATGGTCAGTGTATGGGTGTTTGTCCTTCCTTTCTTCAAATCCTCTCAACAATGTATACAGCCATAGATTAGACATGCAACTATTATTTTTTCTACTTTTGTCATTTGAGAGTAGTATATATCAGGCTGAATGGTCTATAGTACCTAAACTATGGTCTTGCAGATTGTGATATACCCATAAGGTCCATTTCTGAAAGGCCGTCCAAAATGTAGTAGAGATGGCAATTGGGTACCCTCCACATGTGCCAGACACCCACTATCTGATTTTGGGCTGAAATTCAGTCAGTGCTCAAGTACTGCCCTGCTGTACCCCCCAAGCCCCCCCCCCCCCCCTCATCTTTGATGGTCATTCTGAATGGTCATCCATCCTCAACAATGACCATTCAAAATGGCTATTGGTGGGAGCGCACTCTCAACAATGGCCATTCATAGTGGTTATCTAAATAGATGGCTCTCCATGCATAATTTTGTTTGGTGAGCAAATGGATTGAAATTTGTTTTTGGATGCTTCATTTTCTTCCTTTGGAGGGAGAGGATGAACTTTTTTTTTTCTGAAGCCATATTCATGGAGATTGCGTGTAAATTTTGAATGAAATTACTTCAAAAGAATTGTCTTGTGCCAACAGTGAGCTGGATAAACTTACAATTATGTCAGTGTAGTTTAGTGTAGCCAAAACTGGCCAATACTAGCAGAATTTTTATCATTTACTCCTTGTTTTGTGTTGCTACAGAACAATGAAAGGAGCCTGAAACAGAATAGGGATGGGTAACACCAATTACAAATACTTTGACCTTTTGGTGGCAACAAAAATTAATTGGGCTTTGATTGATATTATCACTCATTGGTGTAGCTGCTTGTATCTGCACTAACGATTACAGAGATCTTGGGGGGTGGCTACACTCAAAGTTATTGGCCAGTAATTTTAGTGTAGTGTAGTAGCCTACCATTGCTTGTTTGTGATGCAAGCTGTTGTGAGAGGGAATCCAATGCTACTCCCTTGATTTTGTTTTGAGCAATGTGGCAAGAAGTTTGTTCATTTATATTTTGCTTTGCAGATTTGGGAGTTGAAAACTTGTTTTGGTGCGTCAGACTTACCGGATTTTTCTCTATAGGCTTGGTGAAACATACAAGGATCATCATCTCAATGAATCTACATTGGCACGGCTGTTACTTAATACTCCCAACGGATTTTGTGTTGATGACCTTTTTTGTTTCATGCTTAACATTCCCCTCGTATATCCTTCCCTGCAATGAAAGCTGTTTTTCCTGTGAAGATGAAGCCCACCGATTTTGAACCCCTTCCTCTTGATGTGGGGGCGAGGCTTCGCAACCCAAACACGTTTATTGAGATCATCACAATGAAATTGTGAATTTAGCATAGCTGGCTACTTAGCGATTCTCGAGGTTTTCGCGAACAAGCGGCCTTTTTCCATCCATTCAACTTAACTACATTCTCAACAGGCAAAATTTGGAAGGGTCCACGCTAGGCAGCAGAGATAACCCTTAAGGCTGTTCTTGTAAGGGGATACAAATTTTTCATTGCACTTCTCCCTTATCGGGAGTATTATTTATGGTACTGTCGAGCTATCGATAATGGAATCATTCGCCGCCTTGTCCCGCGCCTTCCGCATTGTCTCCCTGGTGGTGTGGTTGATCGACTGTTTTCCATCTGTTCCGGAGCATCGATCACAAATAAAATGTCAGCCAAGAAATCCAATGGTTTATGACTATCCTACGATTTCGTTCAATTTATTTCTCACCTGCATTCAGCATTTCCTTTGAGTCCACCATCAGTGATTGCTTCGTAGTTACATATGGTACCGGCACCCAATAAACTAGTAGGAGAAGCGCAGATTCCGTCGTGCACGATGATACTTTGGTGAGAGCAGACTGGGTCATTAAATTTTCCTCGTTTCACCCAAGAGCTTCTGAGAGACAGAGAGGAGCATACCTGACATAAAGCTGTCCAGCAAAGGTAATTTTTGTCCATTGAGTAACCCACGATGATTCAACATCCTGAATATCCGCTTTACACGACCTGCCACAAAAGTCAAATTTTTGATAAGATTAACCAGAGATTGATAAATTGGCGGGCACTGGAGTGGTCAAATTGAACGGGAGAAGCCGAGTGGTCCTTACATCTGTGCAGAGCCGAATACGTTTTTTAGAGTTCGCATGGTATTTGTGGAATTTGTTTTGGCCTTGATTGAGTCGCAGTGCCATGCTGACCTGTGGTGGTGCACATCAGAAGCCGTAGGATAAATCCAAGTAGGTAATGTTATCTGGTATGTAGAAGGGAAAACAACTCACCCTGTGCTATTGAGCGAGAGGGCTCCGTCCATTCCAAGGGAATAGGTCAAATTGCCTACAAATTGATTGAACGGCTTTCCACTGTGAAAAATAGCAACAGAGAGAATTTTTGACAATTAGGAGTGAAAATTTTGGAGAATTCGTTGTAAGAATCAGATGTGCAACTGAACTCTACACCTTGGATTTCTGGTATCTCCGCCTGTACCATCAAGACACCGTCGCATGTTGATGGCTTGGGATTTTCCGAAGATTGTTGACAAATCGTCTCCAAGCCCCAAGAGAGGGCGATGATAGCGACAACACTAGAGAAATGGTGAAAGTGCATGGTGCGTTGCTGAGTGAGGGTAAACGCGCGAGGAGAGTTGGATTCAAAGGATTGTGGTGTTGAGCGAGTTGAAGTAAATCACTTCGTATCAAAGGAATGTCAGCGTTAGGACAACGCCCGAGCGGGTTTCTAAACGAGGACTGGACGGAAAGACTGGAAGAGCTAGTTGGAAGGTGTTGAAGGTTTCTAATAATAAGCGAATTCTAAATTGCAAAAGGCCAGCCAGGGAAACGCTCTCAGTTTTTGAAAGGACCTGGCCAAGTGGACGTATCATGTATTCTGTGGCGATACACGTCAAGAAACGAGAGTGAGATAGAAAAAAACTTGAAACATGCTTCATGAGCTGTAGAACGATCGCTGATGAAGTTTTATCGTCTCAATCGACAAGAGTCAAAACCAGACCGATGTGATTCAGACTATGTATGATGCTGGATTGCAAGCGGCATAAAATCATACATACCGAAACACCGCTTCTGAATGTCGACATCGCTCAGCACCCGTTCATGAAGCTTCAAAACGATCAGCCTATCACTAGGGGAGGGCAAAAAGTGTGACGGTCGACCTCGTTTGGTTAGCACACCATCGCTCTGCATTTGCAAAACAATACATACATTGAGAATTTTTCCACCAGCGAAAGCACAGAAGACATCCTTCTCACCGGGTCTCACTGCCTGAACTGATCGCTCGGACCGGCCTGTCCGATCAGCAGCTCGCGGACATGGCGGTCGAAAGATGGGCCCGTCTAGCACTCATGGAGCCCGTTCCCGGGACCTCCTGGTTTATCTCGCGCTGACGATTTAGGGCTCCGGGCTGCTCCGGGACAGCTCTTCAGGAGCCCGAAGACCAACCGGTAGGTTGGGTACGGTCCAGGGGTCACCTTGAGATACCCATGGGTATACAGGCCAATTGGCCTTCACTCCTCCCCAACCCAGGATACATACCCTCAGGTATCTGTGAGGTGGTACCTTGGATCGGCGGATATACCCGCCTCAAATTCAGCCCTGTGGGTACCCGTGGCCTGTTCCCTATGCCCGCGGGTAGGTCTCGGTCAGGCCGGGTGTAGGCAAAGTCAAAATGGCCGGACCCTGCAGGTTCCAGCGCTAGAGCCCAGGCGGGCGGCCCGACTGGTGACTGCTCTGATGAGTCCATTTGACATCTTGTCTGAAAGCCATGTCCAAGGACTTGACGGAACTGCCAATCCAAGCAGATGGTCCAAGTACTGTCTGTCGGCCAGATTTCATGGATTTTACAGAGCCTCTGCAGCCCCTGCAGAATCAAATTTACACACCCTAAATATTTGTTTTTGGTGAAAAGAGTCATGTCTTTGTGAACCTTGTATTCATGACTTTATCAATCATTGGCGCTGATAGTGGTTATCATAAATGGGTGTTTCAACTTTGGATTTGGAGGGGCATCTACACAGAAACCTGTGATGTCAAACTCAGATCCAGAAACTCTGCAAGCAATTTTTTTATAAAATAAAAACCACCAAACATTTATATTTCTACTTTCATTTTATCATCCAACTGTTGAGCTATCTATGTTGTGTAGTTTACATAGCTGCTACTGTTTCATGCTTCTTTCTCTTTTTTCATTTCTCACATATCACACCTTGTGACATTCACTGTGTTTTCATTTCTCTCTTATACTGGAGCCAACTGAGTTGGAAAGGATCCCCTTTTTCTTCATCCTTTCCAACTCCATTGTCTTCAGGGTGTCTATTTCAACACCAACTATGGATCAAAGATATGTTGTGATATAATTGCCTAGTAAACAAACATCACACATTAGTTATTTCATCATGACCTTGTTATATCACAGTTTCATTTCCATAATAAAACATGAGCTTATATATGGAAGACTCTTGTATTTCTGTGATGTTTTGTCTCCTGGAGAGGCTTATCTTCTTATTTTTCTCTTTCATAGCAAACAACTCACATTTATTATGTTTACAAAAGTCTGAAAAGTGTTGCAAACAAGAAACTGTTTCAAGGTTCAAGAAACTAAGTTGCCCTGTTCTTTACACGTGAAGACTGTAAGATCTGGTCATACAGGATTCTAGATCATTGTCCTTCACACCTTAAATATATAACACTGGGCCTTGTTTTTAGATTGGTTGGGTTAGCGCTGGATGCGGCAGGGTACCCGGCACCTCTGAGGCCGCCCAGCACCCCGACCCAAGGGAATACCCTTCAGCCAGGAAGGTAAAATGAGGTGACCGTGCCCTTCCCTTGGGTATTGGGAACGGGGCAAGGGAATTTTTTTTCCCACAGGGCTGTTTTGGATACAGGCCTTCCCTCCAAACCGGGGGTATACCTGCCACGTATTTTGTGGAGGGAGGTCTGGAGGATGGACTCCAACCTACTCCGACCGGCGGCCTGGCCCCAGAGCCAGAGTCAGACTCACCAAACCAAAAAACAATTACACACTCACCTTGCAACCCAAAGATCAACCGGCTTAAAAACTTACCGATATGGCCGCCAAGATTGTGGATGACACTGATGTTGAAGTTTTTGAAAACTCAAACTCAGAAACTGCCAATTCAAACACTAAACCTATCCCTTATATGTTCCATTTGGTCCCTTGGGCCTTATATCACCATTCTGTCCTCCCCCAACATACCCGCAATACCCGCTGGGATCTGTGAGCTGGCCCGGTGACCGTTCCCTAGCATACCCGTTGGTGCCTGGGCTCCTGGGGAGCTGTCCTGGATCCCAATCCTGGCGGTGTACCCTTTGGATATACCCTGATACCTTGGGAATGGGATCCAGCGCTAGGTTGGGTTGTAGCATTTTTGACCATAGCCATCAAAATGGTAATAGAAATGTTGAGGTGGACCAGGTGAGAAGCTGAAAGTCACAGACACTTAGTCTTGTCACAGTGACAGATCACGAAGATAAAAGATTGTTTTAGATTCAGTGAGGAAAGGTATGTGGAGGTGAAGCCAGCGTAGACTACATACAGCCACGGTTTTGTTAGAAGCATACTGACTAGGCTATAAGCATATTCAACACACCCCCTTGCTGAAAACAAACCAAAAAAAAATTAGAGAAAAAAATTCACTACATGGGACCAATAGTGTAAAAAAAATCTCTTGGAGGGGGGACAGAAAAAAGAAATGTAATCAGGCCAGAGATTCTACGTATACAGGGAGAAGGGAGAAGCCATGACAGATTCTGTACTCAAAAAAACAGGCATACAATAAAAATTAACCATACGCCTGCACCGGAGCTGTGTGTACTATTAAAAAAATATCTTGACTCCCTGCTTCATCACCCCCAGAAATTGGTTTCTTTGTCAAAACTATCATCATCATCATCATCGTCTTCTGAGTAGCCATTTCCGAGTGTTACCACTGACTTAGCGCCTGCACAAGCTTTGACAGAGTTTGCAGAATTCTTGGCCTTCTTCTTTGATGGGCAGTCATTGTAGTGGTGTCCTTTTTCACCGCAGGTATAGCAGCGTAGTCGGCCTTTTGACTTTGCAGCGGCCACAGCAGCATGAAACGGTTTGGTAGTCAAGAAGTCCAGAAGCGTAGAGGCCAATATTTTGTGTGCTTCAAGAGCCCCAATTAGCCCGGTTCACAATAGCTGGTTGTCAGCAAATTTTAAATACAACAACAGCAAAAAATATCCTGTTTCTTTCACATGATACACCCACTTTGGGATTGTTAAATATAATACTATGTCTCTAAGTGGTATTAGCTGAAGCATTCACATTGGAAACAGATTTGGCAAATCATATGAAAGACCAAGCCGGAAATCTGGTTGCAACAAATGAATGCCCATCCAAGGACTGCAACATCCCCATCACGCACAGATTTCACCAAAAATCTCTACCTAAATCCGCACAAGCACCCCTCCTCTGCACCCAACATCTTGTTTCATACTATTATCCCAACCATGCGGAAACGATCAGAACGGCAACAGGCCATTTGAGACTTTTCTATGCAGCTAGTCATCTCACGAACTGAAGATTTGGACGAATTTTTAGATCAATCTCATAACCTTTGTGGCAATCCCAACCTCGCTGCTCTTGCCCACCCAACCAATGTAGCAATGCAACGTCAATTCAACTTGCTATTCAGCGATGAGAGTCAATTTGAGGATCTACTTTCTGCAATCCTCAGTCACCGATACATCCACCCTTGTTCCCAGATTACTAGAGATTGTTCCGCGGTACCCTTTGCTAGGTACCTAGTACCGCTTGGGGGGTACCCTTCACACCCGCCCGGCACCCGTTGGGAGGTGCCAGGTGCGGTACTTGGTACCTATTTTTGTGAAAAATTGAACAGGTACCTAGGTACCGCTACAGGTACCCCCTCACTTCCCTACCAAAATGATGGTGGCCTTCTACTCCAAGAACTCCAAGAAGGTACCTTGGCTACATGGAAACAGGGACTCAAGGATAACAAGAAGTCTAACCAAAAATCAAAAAGGAAGGTGATAGGTTTGGACAACAATGAAGATTCTTCTAATAATCTAATTAGATATAATTTGTAGACAGTTTAAGCTTTAAAATAAATTATTAAATGTGAACAAATGAAAAAATTGACTTGGGATTGATGTTTTACAATAAATATGAAAAAAGGCAAGATTCTTCCCATTAGATGTAGATACTTGACAACAAATATGAAAAAAATGCCAAAAAAGTGACTTGAGTAATATTTTACAATAAATATGAAAATAATAATAATAATGAAGTAAGGTTCTTCCAATTAGTTTAAGATGTCTTGCAACAAATATGACAAAAGGAAAAACAGTGACTTGGGAATGATATTTTCAACAAATATGAAAATATAATAACAAAGTAGGATTCTTCCAATTTGTGGTCAACATTTCACAATAAATATGAAAGAATGGAAAAAAAGTGACTTGGGACTGATATTTTACAATAAATATGAAAAAAATAATAATAAAAAAGTGACTTGGTAATCTGAAAGTGAGCCTAGGTTAGAAAGAGAGGGGAGGTACCCGCGGTACCCGCCAAAAGTACCGCCGGTACCCGCCGGGAGGTGCCTGGTGCGGTACTTGGTACCTATTTTTTGAACAAATTCAACAGGTACCTAGGTACCAACAGGTACCCGAGTACGAACGAACAATCTCTACAGATTACCAACCGAGACGAATTTGACCTTGCAAGACTTTTTGACATGCGGGACTCTGATTTCAAACAAGCAACCCGCACAAGCAAGTCTGGGTTTCTGTGTGTTTTGAGGGAAATATTTTCACACCCCATTTTCCAAAGCAACAGCAACCGACCCCAAATACCCATCCCCCACCAACTGGCTTTAACCCTTGAGAGACTCGGCTCCAATGGAAACGGTTCATCAGTTGTTTGCTTGAGTCGAAACTTATCTGTGGCACATGGAACTGTAATTAAAATCACCAGGCGCGTCACCGAAGCTCTGACTTCTCTTGAGGAACAATACATCAAATGGCTGAACCAACAACGGAGACAGGAAATCTCAAGCGTGATGAAGAACGAGGGGTTTGACGGTTGTGTAGGTTTTGTGGATGGGACAACAATCCCTCTTTTTCAATGGCCTGGCTTCAATGGCGAGGTATTTTGGGATCACAAAAAGCGGTACTCAATCAATGTCCAGATAGTTTGTGACTGTGACAAGAACATAATTGCATTCTTGAACGGTTGGCAAGGCTCCTGTGGCGACTCCCTTGTATTTCACCAAATGGATATCTTGACCCACCCCACAGAATACTTTGAGCCAGGTAAACACCTTATTGATTTGCTTCTAAAGCGTCATTTCCAGTTACTAACAATTCGATTCAACTTCTGGGTGGTTCAATCAAATGACACAGACCAATATTTACTTGCCGATTCAGCATACAGCCTTTCTGACAACTGCATTCCAGCATTCAAGTCCCCTGCCACCCTCCAGCAAATCAACACCGATTTTAATTACTGTCTAGCAAAATCTTGGGTCCGAAATGAACACGCAATTGGTATTCTCAAAACTTGCTGGGCATCTCTTCAAGAGTTGCAATTACACCTCTACAAACATCGCCATATGAAGCACTGTGCCAAATGGATTACAAGCTGCATTGTTCTTCACAACATGCTATCCGATTTGGGTGACACATGGGATCAGCAGCAAGAAGATATCATCATCAGCCCCTCAGCTTCAGTGCAATCTTCAACAAACTCAAACACCCCCAACAATGCCGAGGAGAAGCGAACTGAAGTCCGAAATCGATGTGTTCAACTAAACTACTCAAAAGGCATATTGCCAATTAGGTCATAGGTTTAGCATGTTATCAGATAGGGTCGTTTTCTGATTTTGTATTACTTAGATTTTTCATTTCCTGTACAGTTTCCCTTTTTCAGCTATGTTTCTTTGTAATTACAACAACATTTGAGAAATATTCATCAAGCAATAGTGTAGCGTTGTTCAAGACCGATATAGACCAGTCATCAAGTGATGATGGACTGTTCTCTGGATGTCCGGTACACACTGGTCATCAAAGACGTGATACAACATGCATCCAAACACACCCACCTCAATCTGTCTCGGCTCACCTGGATTTCTCGTCGGCTGGTCATAGACATGACAAAGACTGAATCATTTCATTCAGTTCATCTAGCAAGATGAGATCATTGATAATATGAATGGCTTCAGCAAGACGATCTCGGCCGTGTCTTTTAGCTCCAAGAATAGCAAAGTTAACGATTCGTTCAGACTCGGTTATTCACAAGTACGACATCCGGCCTGTTGTTCTGGGAAAGAATTTATACATATCATTCAGCGATCTGATTGTGAAAATAAAAGGATTAAATTGAAAAAAGGACAAGGCTTAACTGTTTTAGCCATTGGCCCACTTGGGTATCCTTAGTGAAGTCAGCCTGGAAGAGAAGAGGGGTGCCGAGGTTGACACCCCACAGGGAGTGAGCGCGACCAACAAGTTTGGAGCGGTGAAGGTTAGCAAGTTTAGCGCAGCCATACATGATTTCAAAGCCAACGGCAACGCAGGCAACCTTGAGGGCGACCTCGATGACGATGTTACCGATGCCGGAGCCGAGGTCAAGGAAGACCATGCCGAGTCTTAGGCCGACGTGCCGGATGATCTCCAAGACGAACCGGGGCTTGAGTTTGCCATAAACATGACTGCTCCAGGTCTCGTACCCCTGTAAGAGCTCCACTTGGGGCCCCACCTAGCAGTCAGACGGTTGGCCTCAAATTGTCTCCCAGACCCCCTGCAGCATCCCCACAAACGAGCCAATCTGTTGGCCGATCTCTTTCCCTTCGACCAGAGACTTGATCACCCAATTGTACCAGCCAAGCTGCTCCAGAAACTCCGGCCTGTTATTCAATTGGATTGTCTTCGCAAGCTCTTTCAAGAGCGGCTTTGAGCTCAAATTTAATGATGCATCCAAGAGTGGGATCTTGGTCGTTGCCGATCCTCCAGGCTCTGGCAAATACCGCTCCTGGGAACGTCTGTTCAGGAAGCTGAAGTCGTTCAGTTAGCTGTGTGGGACGGATGTGGAGGGGCAAGTGATAGGATGTGGCTTGGAAAAGAAATGCAGCAACTGGTCGAGTGTCAGTTACATAGTAGGTAACTGTGGTATGAATGACCTACATAAACGAAAACATCATCAACAACCACAACAAGGGTAATGAGGTCGTAGATAGGGGGGGGGGGAGAATACGTTAAGAAGGTCATCCGAAGGACAATATTCATCCAAATCGTTTTTGGGCACCAGTAAGGGGAAGAGTTCGTGTGCGCCGGTAGGATAGACGACTCTGATCTGGAGGTCCTGGGCTTTCTTGAACGGCCAGCGGCTCAACATTTAGGGGATGGTTGGAGGAATTGATTACACATTTTATGTACAGTTGAGAAGAGAGATAGACAAAGGTAGTGAAACAAACTTATGTAGCTGTCCAGTGGCTACAACACTGGGAAGTTACATACGTTACGATATCCGGAGGGATTTTCGTAACGTAACTTCCCAGCGCATTGGATAACAACATTAGCATTATCCAGAATGCGATCTTTTTTGACCGGTGAGTAACGTAACGAGAGGGATTTTACCCCTCGTTACGGAAGAAAACAACGCAAACAGCACGTTATCCACGTTGTGTGAGGGTAAAGCCCCTCGTTATGTGTTTGTTATCCACACTTAATTGTGGTGGATAGCGTAAAAACAATAAAAAAAAAGTGGAAAAAAGGAAAAAGAAAACGTAACGGAAAGGCTTTTGCGGTTATTGTAACGCTAACGGCCACAATTCCGTTACGTTTTCGTTATTTTTCGTTACTGAAAACGTAACCTCCCAGTGTTGGTGGCTAATGCAAAAATACAAACAGACCAAACGGTACAGGAAATTTAAAAAAATATTCACAAATTCAAAAGGAGATAACCACGGACAATTGGGGGGTAACAACAGGAGGGAAACAAGTGTGTTGAAATATCATGAGGAATGTAAGAAGAATGACTGATGACCAAAACAACAGGTTACAAAGATTTCAAAAAAAAGTGAGACTACAGATTGAATCAGGTTCCAAAGGTTGCTTTCATCAGGGTTTCAATCTCGCTTGCCGACTTTCCCTCTTCAACCCACTTTTGGGCAGCACTAATCCGAACTAATTGTTTGTCTTTGTTTGTCTTTCTCGTGTTGATGTTCTTGTTGTTGCTTTTGTTGATCCCGTTGTGTTTCCCTCTCAAAGCACTCCTTTTCCCAGTCCATTTGTTGAGCAAGATATTCGAATTTCTTCTTGGTTGAACGGTCAAAAGCCATGGCTAGTGTTGTGTTGCCCTTAGTGTGACTAGCTGGCATGTGTCTTTGATGATGGTGGTTGATGTTGGTTCACTGATGGAGAATCTACCTCTGGTTGAGCCAAGTCTGGAAGTTCTAGGGATGATTGAATGGGACCGTAAGCAGGCGAATTTTCCATCCCAAGTGAGTTGGCCAGCAAAGTACTGGCTAGAGTCGGAGGGAAGTTGGCTCTACTGGGTCTACCAGGCATATTCTTTGGATGTGGTTGGCCTTCAGAATCGGAGAATGGGTTGTTGCTGGAATCGCTGTCAGTGATTTCTGAACGAGGTCCATCACTGTCAACCTGCAGTCGGTTGGAGGTTGTTGAGTTGTACTGGTACATGGGTTCAATGTTTGCCTTCGACCCAAAAATTGCGTCCATTCGCAGGTAGCAGGGGCACATCGATTCCAAAACCTGTGTCAGGGGCCGAGGGTCGCCCGCCACAATGCCAGCTCCGGTGCCAGACTCAACTTGTTTGGCTTTGACATACTTGGATTTATAAGTTGCAAATCAATGTTGCAGTTGTCGTCCAGTCAGGGAGAGTTGGGGGTTGGAATTGTTCATGTAGATTGCAAATACTGATGTATTGGTGAGTTTAGCCGGTCCAACCGATGTTTGAGGTCCATTGCCAAAAAGTTGATTGTAATGGCCAGGATCCTCCAAGTATGAGCAAATTTTATCATAATCCTGCATTGAAAACTTCGTGGTGGACTCTCCAGGGGTTTGGGTTAATTTGTTAGATTTACGAGTTGTGGCTTTGTGTTGTGATTTTTTGGCCATGCGAGCAGCAATCATCTGGGCCTTTGTACGACGTTTACGTTGTGGTTTACTTCTGGTCTGAATCGGACTCAAATGAGAAGATGGCGTGAAGGATTCAAAAACCTGGAAGAAGTCATTCAAATTTCAGTCATCCTCAAATACGATGTAAACAACTACATTTGAGAAGCACATACCGTTGATGATGATAGCTCCATCAATGTTGGGTCAATGGTAGTCGGACTCATGTGGATTGAAGTAGTTGTGTGGTACCTTTCTGGAGAATTCAAGTTGGACGGTGAAGTGGATGGAGTTGAAAAAGTGGACTATCAAGCAGACTGAATGGCCTTTGTGTAATATGGAACAATTATGGTAAGAAATTCAGCAACACAGTTGGTGAAATTGGTATATGGGTACAGTTGGTCGTGAGTGTTGCCTCTTTGGTGGCAGGTTGTCTGCTTATAAGATGATTTGATTGCTGGAGGTTGATACCAGGGGTAGAAAAGTTGGTCAGTTCGATGTGACTGGTGGAAGCCTGAGTGGGTTGGGTAACAGGCTTTGTGGTTAGGAGACATCTTGCAGTTGGGAATGGAAAGCAAACATCGGCCAAGTTGTCATGAGTCTGTGTGGTTGGGTGGATCTCCTCAGTCTTATGGGGAGATCCAGGGAAGAAATTCCCTTTGGGGATGCTGAGGCAATACCATTTAGGTTCTGTATGGTTTGAGCCGGTGGAATCGGGGGGAGAGATGCTCTGTGTGATGTGAAAAATTTATTTAAATCAGAGATCAGCTATAGCTTTGATGTACTATGGTTTGTGCTGATTAGCCCAGATTGGGCTTAAAATGTAGCTAAGATTTATGAGTAGTGAGCAAAATTTAAGTGGTGTATCAGCTTGTGTAACTGCCTATCGTGAACCGGGCTATTGCGTCATCTAGTGATATTTCAGTCAGCAAGTACACCACGTGATCTCTAATGGTCTGCAAAGATTCATCAAGACCGCAAAAGAGACGGTTGCATATCTGCTGATCCGCAGGAGTTAGCTTTACGCTAGCCAAGTTGGTTGCCGCTATGCTAATTCAAGCGATCCATTTTGTGATTGGTTGGCTAGGGTCGTGAAAAGCCGTCCAAAAGGTGTCCTGGAGTTGGAGCCGCCTCGTGCAAGTGTTCTTCTCATAGGCATCACAGATGGTCAAGCACAGGTTATGTGCAGGTTTGACACCTTCATAACAAATAGCAAGGTCCACCAAGAGCATCATTTTAATTTTTGAGCACGCCATATGCGAGAGAGTGTCACAGTCAGCGCCAAAATCCTCAGGGTTGTAGCCTCTCTTTTCTGGAGAGCGACCGGATGTCTTGCCATCTTTAGTATCCAAGTTACTTGGCCTAGGAAGAGTCTTGTTAACAGTATCAAGTACTACTTGTAGAGATGGTTGCGGATATCCATTATCCGCTGGGGGATACCCGCCAGCAGATGCCCCTTTTCCCCTGAAATCTTGGCGGATATCCGCGTATCCCAACAGATACCCGGTCATATATAGGCTGTTGGCAACGGTGGGCCAGTTACACTAACCGTAGTGTTAGTGCAGCGTAGTGTTAGCTTTTTAAGCTATGCTACACAAAATTTACCGTTAACGGGAATTTTTGGCCCACTAACACTACAGGATTTTTGAAAAAACAAAAAAAAACTTTAGCGTAGTGTTAGCTACCTTTAAAAAGGCACAACTAACACTACCCAAAATCCTGTTAGTGAAATTTTAGTGGTGTTAGTGGGTGAACCCACTACACTACATGTTGGTGTAACTTTTTGCACAGTTACACTAACGGTTAGTGTAGTGGTACCCTCAGTTACACTAACTGTTAGCGTAACTGGTGAAAAATTTACACTAACTGTTAGCATAACTGATTAAAAGTTACATGACCACATGACTAGCATTAGTATACCCTGAAGACAGTGCCTGATTGGGGGGCCTACATCCAGATCCCCTCAATTGATCATCATTTTTTTTTCAATTGGTAATGGGGGCCACTCAATTTTAGCCCCCTGCCAATTTTTAACACTTAGTTGTAAGACCACATTCCCCTGTCAGACTACCTTGAGATTATGGGTTCAATTCCCCCTCAGATCATACTTTACTGGGTTCCATTCCCACACTTGTTCAATTTCCACTTTCACATCATGTAGCAAGGGGGGGGGGGGGTTGAGGTGTAACCATGATGTATCACCAGAGTGTGGTGGAGCTGTTGGCATGAACCATGGCAACTACCACCCAAATAACCTTACAACCACAAGGGTCTGTAGCCTAGTTGGCAAAGGAAGCACTCTGGTATGTGATTCAGCATTGCTGAGGTTGTGAGTTCAAATCTCACCAGGCACATCCTCCATTTGTTTGTCTCTGCATCTTGTGCTGTTCATTTTCTGCGGGATTGTGTGTGATCATAGGACATTGAAAATTGTCACTATGGACCTCGGCCGTATCAGTTATATGGACAGTTCACACAACTTGTCCATTGAAAACAGAAAGCAGAGGAAGAGGGTTCAAGAGCATAAATTCTCACTTGACATGTCAATTTCTCTAATTGATGATTTACACTACACTACATGTGTAGTGTAACTTCTACTGTAGTGTAGCGTAACTAGACATGTAGTGTAGTGTAGTGTAGCTTAATTTGGTATAAGTTACACTAAATGTTAGCTTCAAATCAGTTAAACTATCTGACAGTCAAAATTTTGCTAGCGCAAAAAAAGTTACACTAACTGTTAGTTTAGCTGAGATTATTTGAAGCTAACACTACCAAAAAATTTGAGAGAAAAATTTACACTACACTAACAGTTAGCGTAGTGGGGTTTAGCGTCAGCTAACACTACAGAATTTCCAGGAAATAAAAAGGCCACTACACTAACAGTTAGTGGTCAAATAGCGTAGTGTAGCGTAGCGGCCCACTGTAGTGGTCGCCGTGTTTTTTGTATTTAATTTTGTAACACTTATTTTTCAAGTTTTTTTGAAATTTCAAATTTATTTTCTGAATATGCGGAGAATTTAATGGTAAAATTCAATTTCCATAAAACTCAACGGTTCATTCTGAATATTGTAATTAGTCATATTTTTTCAATTAATTTTTACAGCTTAATTTTTATTATTTTTTAACATTTTAAATTTCTTTCCTACACTTTCAAGCATGTAAAAAATTATGGTAACAATCAGTTTGCATCAAAATAAAAAATATTTCTTGAATATTGCATTTTGCCATTTGAGTTGTTTTTTGATTGATTCTTCCAGGCTTAATTTGCATTATTTTTTGGAATTTTGAATTTATATCCTACATTTTCAAAGGTTTAAAAATTGATGGTGTCATTAATTTTGCATACAAATAAAATTGGTATAGAGTACAAATTATGTAAGAAGCGGGGTAAGCCCATATATTAAGATTGAAGCATTGATCTTTGGGTAAAATGAATAATACCATTAATTTCTAAACCTTTAAAAATGTAGGATATAAATTCAAAATTCCAAAAAATAATGCAAATTAAGCCTGGAAGAATCAATCAAAAAAACAACTCAAATGCAATATTCAAGAAATGTTTTTTATTTTGATGCAAACTGATTGTTACCATAATTTTTTACATGCTTGAAAGTGTAGGAAAGAAATTTAGAATGTCAAAAAATAATAAAAATTAAGCTGTAAAAATTAATTGAAAAAATATGACTAATTACAATATTCAGAATAAACCGTTGAGTTTTATGGAAATTGAATTTTGCCGTTGTATTCTACGCATATTCTTACCCAGAAAATAAATTTAAAATTTCAAAAAAACTTGAAAATAAGTGTTAAAAAATTAAATACAAAAAACATGTCCAAACGTGGAAACCGCTTGCACTGCACAGCTGCAAAACTGCGTTTTTTACAGCTATTTTGGGAAGTCTTGTCCACTTGGAGTCGCGAATTCTTTTTTATTTTTTTATTTTTTATTTTTTTACTGAACTGGAACTGTCAGAACTGAACTAGTGATGACAGCTGTACCTCCTTGGCTGTAGTTCAGTACAAAGAAAAATTTCAAAAATTTCAAAAAAAAAGCAAGACAACTGGACAACCCTTTCCGAAATAGCTGTATTGAGGCCCAAAAATAAAAATAAAATTAAAATTAAAACCACTTTTGCCAACTGCTCAACAAAAAAAAATTGAAAAGCAAAATTTAATATATTAACCACCCACTACTTAACACTTACCACACTCAAAGCTTCAGTCAACAGTCACAGTAACAACCTTTGCCACTAAATACCTCAGGTTAGTTACACAGAGGCTTAAATATCCCAAAAAATAAGGGTTGAAAAATTTGGTGATACTTCAAAGGAGGGAATTTCAATGGGTTACAGGCAAGGTACTCTTAAATAGATCAGGGTTTTGGGTAGAGATGGTCACTTTGCATCCGGATATCCGTTCAGATCCGGATATCCGCTCATAATTTCAGTGGAATTAGGCAATTCTGCTGAAATTAAGAGCGGATATCCGGATCTGCGCGGATATCCGGATGCAAAGTGACCATCTCTAGTTTTGGGGAATTGGGTTGAGTATAGCCATGATGCCAACTTTGAAAAAGCTGTTTACATTTATGCTTATAGTCTAGTATGTTTCTGCCAAAACAATCAATTCAATCCTGTAGATGGTTCCCCCTTGGATTACTCTAGATGTTTCCCCTCTTAGTAAATCCGAACCAGAAATTTATTTATCAATCCTCAAGTGTCACTAGACATTCTGTCAAATTCAGTCATTTCCCTTCCTGTTTGTATCAACAGATCCCACTTTTAAGGAATCTCCCCAATAGCTCCTGACTGTAAATTTCAGTGGTGTGCCGCTACACTAACTGTAACAGTTAGTGAAGTATAAAATAGCCAAATTCCGGTAACGTTTAGCGTATCACAGCAGAATTCTGCCACAACTGCACTAAAGCTACACATGTGGGTGGCAAAAGAGGGCCCACTACTCTGCGCTGTAGTATGCCAATTGTGTTTCAAGTAGCAAATTGCATAAAGTCACAGTACAATATGTAGAAGGGCATATATTCTTAGGTGTATTATGGCATAATCACATTCTACAGGTCATTTAACACATAGTCACTCACTGGAACCACTAGGCTAGCTCCACTCAGTCAAAAGTTATTTGGGATTTAAATTCTATTTGCATACAAAATGCTTATTGCATAATGTAAACCACAAGTTGGCCTTATTTTTTTACATATTCAATATTCATTGCATAGGGTAACCACAAGTTAGAAACATTGTTGTTATGTACACTGAGAATCTTGTATAGGGCTAGAACCACAAGTTGGCCATTTATAGATTATAGGTTAGGGATAGAACCACAAGTTGGCCAGTTATAGATTATTGGTTAGGGCTAGAACCACAAGTCAGCTGGGTTGTAAAATAGACTATTTAAGGAGGGGCTTTCCCCCTCATTCCAATTTTTCATCATCATGGGATCATCTCATCACATCAGATCATCATCTCATCTGATCAGCAACCAGACAGAACAGAGCAATCAATCCATACATTAACCAGTGTGATCTTAATCAAGTGCCCCATTGAGATCATTCAGACATTGAGAAGCATAGGAAAAAGAAAGTAACAACCAGTACAACTTGTGATCTTAAACAAGAGACAGTGATCTTAAACCATTGTGCTCTTGACCAAGATTCAAGGAGGAAGGGAAAGACACTTTCAATAGTCACATTTTTCCTCAATACCATCTCATAAATTCACATTCCTCATCAGCACATACATCAATCATTTTTCAAAATACATAAACATATAAACAAAAACACCTCTTACTCAACATTTCCACTCAAATAGTCTGCTGAATCCACGTTGATCTAGATTTGATAAAGAAACTGCTACAAATAGTTTTCTCTATCATCAGTTTTTCCACAACAATAAATAAATTGTTGTGTTAACTCTAGTGTAGTACAATAGAGGGGCAGGTCTTTCAAACCAGCCGTAACAGTTGTAGTAGATCATTACATATGTGATATATCTCATCTGCTATTTCCCCCTCACAGGACTGCCACCATTCCCAAAGGAGTTCTCACAGCGCTACAGTGTATTTCAGCAGTTTTTGGGCCGTTTTTGCCGCTAAAAGCACTGTATTGCAGCATAGCCTAGACCTTTCATGTACCAAGTAACTGCAACACCTGTACTTATGTACATAAGTACTTATCCATAATGTGGTTTACCTTTACCTCTTGTTATCTTATCATTACTTTTATATTATCTTATTTTATCTTATAATATTTCATTCACAGTTATCTTATTATCATTGATTACATATGAACTTAAATATTATCTTATCTTGTAATGAATTATCAATTAAATACATATCTATTTTATACATAAGTAATTATCACTCACCTTTCACTCCTTTACCCATGAAATACCTGTACCACAAGTGGTCCATGTTCTACAGTATTTTCATGGTAAAATATTGTCAGCTGGCAAGCAAATCCTAGTTACCCCTTAACTCAGTGTTATTCCATTTTGCTACACCATCTTCAGTTATGATTAGTTTCACTCTTTTTTGTTCACCTTTCACATTCATTTCAGTTATTTCATTATAAGCATACTTTACATATCCTTGTATCTAGTTGACCTTGCCAAGCGGGGTATATAAAGTTGTACACACGGAAGTCTATTGTTCACCAGACTTTCAGAAGAGACAGAATAATAACCTCCCTTTATTTTACATCATTCCTCTTTCTGTTGAAGATACTTCAACAAATCACTACTTCAACCTAGCGTATTCCTCTCAAATCACCAAATCACTGTTTGGATGTCAATATGCCTGACTGTCTCAAAACTTATCAACAGCCTGGGCATTAGATCAGTATCTTTCTACAACATGGAGCCACTGGACGTATCCAGTAAACTTCCATCGAGTGGGTCTCATCACCTCAGAGTAACCCACTGCTGACAAACATCATTACAAATAAATATGTACACGTATTGAATGTAGTTTATTAATTTACAATAGAATTAATACATTCAATACATGTACTGATCACAATTATGATGTCACTTACAGATCATGACAAGCAATGATCAGTCACTCAATTGATGTGCTCATTCTCCTGGCCAACGCTCCCTTGATTCTCAGCGCTCATTCTTTCCCTCATTCAATATTCTGGAACTTATAATCCATGCCTTTTCCACTGATTAATCTCCAGAATATTCAGACACCAGTTAAACATATTTAACATTTATTTTGATAAATTACACATAACTCAACTTAAATCAAGTCTACTTATATTGTTCTTAAGCTTCAGTCAACAACTCAACTTATCCACAATATCCATAGCCTTGCTGAATATTCCCATCAACAATAACTATTAATCTTCAACTAATTTTGTTAAAGCTTAATGAGTATTGTTAGCCCTTTCCCTTTTTGGGAACCTACTGATCCCAGGTGAGTCCTAGTACCCTGGATGCCTATTAATACCAAGTATTGATCCAGATGCGCTGTTGATAGCAAGCCTCTCAGTAAAGACCATACTGATAGGGTGAAACCTCCTCATTACAGGACTGGTATTAACACCCACTAACTACCACTCACCATGCTCAAAAACACACCAGTCAACTCATAGCAACAACCTATCTACATATATAACTCAGGTTAGTTACCCAGAGGCTGACAAACAGTGTGCTAACACTACAGGTTTGGCATGCTGTTTTGAGGGCCACTACAACAATGGTTAGTGGGCTGTTTAGTGTGGTGGTCCAGCTTTGAGCCTCTGTCTTGAGGTTAGTTATTATTTCTATTTTTTTCACCTAAACTGAAGGACTTCCTGTAGGATCTGGGACCCTTGCAGATGACAATTTAGACCCAAAAATGCTAGAATGTTGCTCAGAAATCTAGCATTTGAGGCCTCTAAATTGCTTCTGGGAGACCCAAAGATATTGGATGACCTCCCATTGCAATCTGCAACCCTCAGAGAAGTTGATTTACACCCCTTAGATCTATTTTTTATTGAATTTTTTTTTCTCAAGCCTTATGGCAATAGCTTTCACATGATCTGGTTGGAATCTTAATTGTGCTCTTATTTAAGACTGAGAGAGGTCTAAAAAGCACTCTAAATCCTGAAGGAACGTCCTTCATTGATAGGAAGTCTTCCACTTTCTCATCATTGTTTTATCAATTTTCTAGGTTTGTTCTTTTATTTGTCCGTCATATCAGTCATTGTAGTGATCTGATATCACCTACATCTTAAAGGTTTTTTCTTTTAATTTTTCTGACTGCATTTACTCATTCTTAAGAACACACGCAGTTTACTTTTTTCATTCTGTTGCCATATGAGAGGCACATGCTCACACCAAAGGCCAACTTTTACCAGGAAGGTTGAATATGGAAGGAGCAGGATGAATGCTGCATCCACAGTGCATGGCAACTAGTTTCTATTCATCATACTCTCATTGCATTTTGTCACTTGTGTCTCTCTTTTTCAGGCTGTGATAAGATCTGGTTGCATTGATCAATTTTGATAAATTAATTTGATCTATTCACAGGCTTTAATTTATGCACTAAGGCTGTGCCACAGATTTAACACCACCAAGGTGGTTTCTGGAGTGCTAAACAGTGACCCTTACTCAACAGTGTGCACTTGAACTTATCACCTCACAATATCTCAAATTTAGGTAGTAAATATATTGTGGAACAAATGGATTACTGCCAATACTTCACTTGAACAGGAACCAATTAAACAATCAAATTCAAAGAAACTAGAAGGTGATTGCACCAAAAATGGAACTTCAATCTGGGGGTTTTCCCACAAAAACATCTAGTTGATGGATATACTACAAGTCTCAATGAAAAAAAGGAATTTCTGCATGAAGTAGATCTTGATGAAGACTCTGCTCTCTCAGGTCAATAATTCAGACAGCAAAAAGGAGTTAGTGGGACTAGAAGCTCAGATAACTGTGCAAGGGAATTGTTGGATGGGAATAATGTGAGACATCTCGTATCATTCTGATCTAATCTAAACAGCATACCAACTTTGCTTCACTATCCTGTAGTCGTGTTCTCAGCAAGAAAGTGGATATGACAGTTCAATTATAATGATGGTATAGAAATTTATAATGGGTACGTATGTACATATCAAGAAAAACAAAGATGATAAAGAGAACAACTCGCAAGATAAAACAGTATGAGATAACAAATTGAATTAGGCGGACGACTAAAAAAAGATTGAACACATTAACCTCCAGGAGATCGTACTGGAAGATGTCGGCAAGCGACGATATTAAAGGAAAAAAGTCTCTGTAAGACAATTGTAGACAAGGAACAAGGTCGATTTCCCAGGTGGCGGAGAATGGGAAGTCCAGAGAGCTAGGCAGATTGCCGTGTGCAAGTTCCTGCCAGATTGGCGCCGAAGGAACTACTTATGACTCTTCCCCGGCCCCAGGGAGGGTGCTTGGAGTAGGGGTATTGGATGATGAAAGAGGTGGGCTATCGTTAATTTTGCTTTGCAGTGCCGGTAACGAGTAAATTCGGTCGAGGGGAGTCGCCGGCGCTGTTGGTGGGTCGTATAAAAATCCGCGCGAATCTTTTGCTTCCATGCGTCGATCTTTGGTAGGACGCTCTCGGTCTTGAATCCTCGCATAAGGATGGTAGCCATGATTGTTACTACTTCCCAGCATACTGGGATGGGTGGCTAAATGGTGTGTCGCGGGGGCCGTTACCCTTCTTTCGTTTTTGTCGCGGTCCTGCTCACCACCCCATCCCCCTAATGCAGATAAGCTCGAATGATTCGGACTGGCTAGTCCTGATGAGACAGGGGTTGTGGTAGTTACGTTGGGGTATGAAATAGGTTCGGAAATCGTAGTGGTGGTACCTGTGCTCGTTTCCCAGGCGGATATGTTCGGCGTAAAAGTGTCCCATCGGGTGGAATCGGCCGGCAGCGTTTGCCTCTCGGTCCCGCCTGGAGCCAGAGACTGAGGGTAAAACGAACTGTAGTAATCGGGCTGGTTCCCGTATCTGAACTCGTGACAAGCTCTGGAGTCAGAGAGCAAGCGCGTAGGGGGTGCATGTGTTACTCCAGAAAGGGGGGGACGATGAAATGATACCTCGCCCAACTGGGTTGGGGTAGCAGGATGAAGATGAGGAGTGTCAAGAGGTGATGCTGCAGAGTCCAGCGAACTAGATGAAGGAATGGAATGCGAAGTCTCAAAAGAGCCGACAGAGCTGCGCGGAAGCAAACTAGATCTTTGGCGATCTCTGGATGCCTGGTCTTCAGCACCTCCAGTTGCTCGATGATCCGGATAGACACCCGTAGGTACTACAATCGATCGTAGGTTCTCGTCCCCCGTTGGTGTCCGCAACTGCCTGGAGTCCAAAGCGGACTTGGAATAATATGCGATTAAGTGCAATCGGTCTCCATCCAACGTAGTGGAGGAAAACGACTGTTTGAGCAGTGGGTCCGAAACATGAGCATGCGAATCGCGAGTTGCGGCTGAGAGGAGTTCCGAGTAAATCAAAAATGCGCCTGATACTCTTGACGCTGAAGAACACGCAGGAAGATGTTAGTCAGTGACCAGTTTACATCATTCCAGAGAAACACAAGTAAGACTGACGACTCCATCGGACATGGTCTGTCCAGCGCTTTATTCCGGCCTCTTTTTCTTCCCACACAAAGACAGCGCCAGGGCGAATGATCTGACTGCGCTCCAAGTCAGTTAATCGTCGAGTGATTCGGTGCAATTTGCCGACACGACAAGCCTCCAATAGTAAGTAGGCATCACGTGGTGTTTGCACCAAGCCAAACCAAGTCTCCGACATCATAGTGAACGAGGGGGGCTAGGAAGCGGAGGAAAGAAAGAACCAGGTGTTGGCCACTCCATCGATCAAAAAAACTCTCCTTCCCATGGTTCAAACCACTTATAGTGGACGATAACAACACGACATTTGCCAGCCAAAATCATAACTCACCAATGAAGGCACTTGACGAGTGAGTTGTTCTTGTGGCTGACGTTGATGTTGATTAGCACAATCCTGTTCGTCCCTATAATCACGATTAGAAGAAGCGCATCTGAATGATGGAAGTAAGGTGGTCGAATTAGTAGCGTTAGTTGAGAGGCGCTGCTGAGAATGTTGATGATGGTGTAAAGAGGGTATAAAAGCGTGGGCAATCGGAGAGGAGAGCATGTGTGAAGAGGAAGGTGGACATGTTGGAACGCCGCTGGACTCGGCGTAAGGAATGGGGGGCGCAAGATTTGGGGGGAGCTGATAAGCCCAACTCGTTCGATCACGCCGATCATGCATCACTTTCGTATTGAATGTGTTGTCCTTTTTTGCAGCGAGTTAAAGCCTGGACAGAGAGGACGTATTTGGTACATGCATGATTGTGAGTGTGGATATTAGAGTGCGATGGAGATGAAGATGGCGGAGTGCAAATGAGAGCAGAAGTGGTAATCAATATATCAGTCATCATTCCACGGCGAAAGTTTAAATCACACCCGACCACAAAAGGAACAGAGGAAAGGTAGCAAGATAAAGCAAGGAAATGGTTAGAGTCGACGAGGCGACATGGGTATCAGCTTCTATACTTGGTTCTTTCCTTGCAGATCAGCCCGCTGTTTGTTCCACAAGGTAAGAAGGGGGGAATGATCGGGGTAACAGAACCGGATGACAAAAGAAACATAGTGATAGCGCTTCGACAAGCTTCCTTCCAGGCTAACAACTCGAGCCCATGGAAGGAGTCTCAACTATATTGATTGATTCCATGGGCAGAGGCCTCTGGCCGGTCAATAGATGGAGAAAAGATGTATCATTTTGGGTAGTCAACGATCTTGTGGGGACGCCAGGATTTGGAAGTTCTACTTGTGTGCACTGTGAAGATTGTTCCTTGCCGGGGCCAGAATGAGTCCTCCGTTCAGATACCGATCGGGTAAAAACCCAACAGACGAGAGAAAAAGGAAGGAAGGACACAGTCAATGGGATAACAGGCGCCACGGGGGAAGCTGGAGTTAATCTGAGTCGATCTCCTATGGTGATATTACCACCTCTCGTTACCCCCGCGCCGCTCGCGCCCCTACTCTTCCATGTGGGTTATGACTTGAGTAATCACCATTGCTTCGTTCAGTGTTCACCAAGAAGCGTGTGCAATGTAATCTACGATCATTACGATAAATCGGGGGCAGCCCCTCTGAACTGCGCCAGAGCTTCCCGACTTGATACCGCCAATAGAGTCATCGGTAGGGTGGAATCCCGTACAGTCGATGTTTTATATGTAAAATGAGAGAAACACGATCGCAGACAAACTGCCTTTGCCGCGGGCGGTGAGCAATGACTTACTACGGGTTTCCTGGTCGGGCGAATTAGGGATCTCGGGGGCGAATGTGTAATCTTCACGACACGTGCCCAACCTATTTCTTCTATTCAGGATTGTGCGTGAGCATCAAGGGAGCTTGAAAAGAAAAGGCCTAATGGAGCAGGTAACTGACCGGTAGTTGAGTAGCCAGGTGTCCGTATAGGGGATGAGCGCTGAGGGACGAGAGCTAAAATTGGAGATATTGGACTTTATTAGTACATCGCAGTTTCATAGGGCTGTTCAGAAGGCGTGCAGAGATCAAGCAGAAAAAAGAGAGCAAAAATAGACGACGAAAACGGCGAGGTATGGAGAAGAAGACATGGTGCCAGCCGGGAAACTTGTACAATCGGCATCGGGCTAGCGAATGCCTGACTGAGGCCCGAGTGAAAGCTCTAAATTGGAGCCATAACATTTGGTCAAACCACCTCGGATGCTTCAAGGTCAGTCAGTCACACCAAGGTATCTGTTGAGGATGACCAAGGTATTATCATGGGAGGGCAATCACTCTTGAATCTCATCGTCAGCTCATGAGAGCAGTCCCAAATCTGCGGTTGTTGATGATCGTGATGCAGAGTAGTCCGTTTCGGCTGAACCACGAATACCCAAGCTTGCTGGTGGTCAAGAAGTGCCTTCGACCCAGGCAAGAAGTGCCAGAAGCCCGGTTCAACAATGCTACATAGCTAGGATATGAAGAAAGATTATCATGGGTGCATTTTTAGGATTTTCTGCCGCTGTTAATATTTTACATCACCATGAGGAGAATGGTGAACGCTCTTCCTAGCAGTTTAAATCAGCAATAGTGCGAGCAGTTTTCCTCGGAAGGTCAGACAGTCAGTTCATATCTTCATCCCAGAAATTGCTTTCAAGGCAACATTGTGATTGCACTGAAGTTCGGCGGATATTGCTGCCTGAAATCTTCCTGCCATGCACAAGAATGAGCAAGCCAAATAAGAAGCTAGCCCAGAGGAACTTTAACCTTGCATCCTTTACTTGGTGGATCAGTTAGACTGATGTACGTTAGTTGCGGATGTTCATGGGGGGAATTTGACTTTTTGCCAGAACGCGGGGTCAGGATGAGCCCCCAGACAGAGGGGTAGGAAGGTCAGACGTTTGCAATAAAAAAATGAAACCAACCTAATTCACTCCTACTCCTACAATCGAAACGTATAACGTGCTCCTGGGGGTTTCTGGAATCCGGATGAAGCGTGGGAGGAAGATGAACACAGTTATTCGCGTCGCTGGTAGACAAAGATGTATGTGGCCACCGCCAAGTGTTCAGAAGACACTTTCTTCTGCACGAATTGAACACGTCCGGGTGGGGCAGGCTTGGAGGCAATAATTCCTGAGCACGGGATCGATCAGGGATTTCGGGATTGAAAGCGACGGAATCGTTTAATAAAGTTTAAGAAAAGAAGCTACGATATAAAAAACTGATTTTGGTTGGGTGGATATGCTCGTCGAGAAGATATATTAGTGTGCCCGGGGTGCAAATGCAAAGAAGTGAACGCAAGAGATAAGTTATAGATGATGGCGATTCGCCACAACTAAGCACGAGCCTGGACGAACGAAACTGGTGACAGAGGCTCGCAACCGGGTTCCCTTTGATAGCGAAGCCCAACAGTATGGCTAGTCGAAACAGATAGTGGATGAAGATTGCTCGATATTCTACATGCAAAGACACCCACCAGTTTAACCACTCGTCCACTACGCGGAGCTACGTTCCACTTGGATCGTTGGACTCGGAGAGGTTACGGAGGAGAAGAACCACTCACGGATTTGCCAGGCTTCCGCGAAATAGAGCAGAGGCCAACGGTTAAGTCGATGGTCAATTGGCTCACGCAAACTAAGGTAAATATGGTTTGCAATAGGTGTCTATTTTTCGGAGAGAGATCGTCGCCAGGAGCGCGAGTCTAGCCCGTATTCAACAGCGCATTAACGGGTCCTTGTCAGTAGTGCTCCGGAGACATAAATGTGTGGATGAGTTTACGAAGCTGACGGGTGTGCAAAGCTGACCAAAATTGGGTGATGTCTCAATGGTGACTTTCTCTCTTCCAGTCTAAGTTCTAAAAACCCAAAATATGTAATAAATTATTTTTATGTAGCAGGGTTGAAAGATCAGGCGCGTCAAGCGCGTCACTGTAGGTCAAGTGCTTGCCCAATGATGAGCTCTGATCCTTCATATGGCTTTGGCTGCAAGCATCAACCAAATGTGGTTCTTGTCGGCATTCTTGACGGCTAGACCCAAAGATGTCTTCACATTCGTGGAAGTGGAACATATGCCACAAAAGCGTGACAAGCAAAGAAATATGTATGCCACGTGGCCATCTGACTGGAGGTCTTCACTGATGAGAATCCACTCAAACAAGCAGCTGTGCCAGTGTTTCATATAATTCATTTCATCTCATGCCACTCTTGTGGTAGAGGTGATAAGTGCGCATTGAGAATGAACAGAGATTCGACGGCGTGGCGGGCCCCGAGCAGTGCACTAGTGCACAAGTCTCAAACCATCACTCGATTTACACACTTCACATTTACTTATCATATGTACATGGGACCTGAACCGACCCCGATATCTCCTCTGAAGGATACCTGGTACATTGCCAATATCATCATTATAGCAGGCGTAGCCAACTCCGAAGTTATCGGGAAGAAGCCCGACTCAAGTGTTGGCTCGCACTTGAGAGTTTGTAGTATGTATACACCATCAACCACACGCTGACCTATGCCGATGACGGCGACCTCTGTTGTGACTCTCTTCCAAACCGGCACGAATCAATAACATTTACGTGGAAGAGGTTGACATATCATTCTCATAGCATGGCGCTAAATCGGGCAACTTCATCAAGTGGTCATCCACTTCAAGTACAAACCACTCGACCAGGCTGGGCCGATACGGGAAAGCTGCTGACGGCTTGAAACCCTCGGACTTCTACATAAATACACAACTTCCGATTTCCACTTTCGATCCTAACGCGTGAGAGATCCGCGACTGGGGATTTTTTGCAGATGTTGCAACAGCTCTGTGCTTCTATGGCGTAGGTGGCCGAACAATTTCTTGCGAAGGCTCATCTTCATCAGTAGGTAAAAGCACCGTGTCCACAGGTCCGTAAGCAGGTGCGCAGCCCTCTCCCCCTTCGGTAACAATCGCCTCGTCCGTGTTGATGGTGACATTCCAAGATCAGCTTTCATCTCACCACACAGCATTCGTCAGAACAAACACGCATCTGCGCACGACATAGAAATCTACCGTAAAGGGCATGTAATACAACCGCCCGCGACAGAGGGTCCCAGGCTTCACTGGCGGCGGTTGAAGAAATTTTTCAGCATCCTAAAAACATCCGAGTTCCCCAACCCAGTTTTCTATGTGAATCTGTGTTGTGCAATCACACGAGCTCATCGCAGACCGAACAACATTTCCAGGCCGGTATCGCATCCCTCGCTCCCCGAGCTCAGTGGTGACCAGGATAAATGTGCCTTTGCGAGTCCAGTCTGAGCTAACTGCTTTTTTCACTGGGTTGAGGGGGGTGGGGGTTCGGGGGTTGATTGATCCAGTTTTGCTGGAAAAGAAGTAAAAAATTAAATAACTTACCTTGTTGTAACATGAGGGGGCAAAGGGAGAATCCAACAGATTAATTCCATGTGAATGGGTACAAAAATTGATTGGATGCTGAATGTGAACCCATTGAGCTAAAGAACCTAAGGTTTTCAAACCGAGATGTTAGAGCACGACCAACGTGAGCTAACAGAGAGCAAAGACACAAGCGAACCTAAGGTTTTCAAACCGAGATGTTAGAGCACGACCAACGTGAGCTAACAGAGAGCAAAGACACAAGCGAACCTGAAAGGAGAGTACACGATGAGAGAACTGAAAACCAAAGAGAAGAGAGAAATGAGAAGATGAAACAAAAGGAAAGGACCTGTGACAAGAGAGTCAAGCGGTGATGAGCAAGGCGAAAGAGGAGCAGAAACGAAGAAAAGAGAATCTGATGAAGAAAAAGGAAAAACAACTTTAGAAAGAAATGAACCCCTTTTATACGCTTCCATCAGATGATCTAGGTTTCGAACTGTCAGCCTTAGAGCCAGCCAAGCTGGCCAAAAGACTGCCCAAAATGCCCATTTCTATTCAAAACATCATCTTATCTTTTTTACCTTAAGACTTTTTACTTTTCTGACTTCAGAAATGGAATCCTGGTGTAAAATTAACCCTAGTCACCACTGACCACTTTTACCCAACTCCATTCCTTCATTGACTTTGTAATAATTCACAGTATTTCAAGAATTATTCCAACCTTTAGGTTTTAGCTCCCTCTACCACATGTACATGCCAGATTACATAATCCAACTTTGAAAATCCTCTCTGAGCTTGTTGATTCCGCTTCCAGAGGATTTTCAGACTCCAGACCACCCAGAAACAACAACAACCAGTACCAGATCCAGCCTACACTTATCAACCAGAAGAACCTTACTTTTCCTGCCTTTCCCACTACTCAGTGTCATTGGTGTCATCAGTAAGTTACTTCTTTAAGTCCAGCTAGCATCTTCCTGCTTGTTTTCTTTCTCTGTCACTCTCACCTTTTTCTCTCCCTTCTCTAAACCAAAAGCCCTGATCCACCAAAGCTCCATAAGCTTCAAAGATTCTCCTCCTTTCTTGTTTGGTAGTAAAACTGAAAACTACATAGGTTTCCCTTTAAAGAACCTTGATCATCCCTGATCTAAAAAATTGTGGTTGACCTGATTTATCAGAGTCAAGTACCCATTTCAGTTTCCTTTGATTTGGAGGCGTAGAGTTAGCTCCGCTTATAACAGCTACCCTCAGAGGAAATAAGACTGTCAGAATCTTAATAATCATCACAAAACAAACAAACAACAAAAAGATTATTCATTTCTTCTATTTCTCTTCTCTCTTTCTCTTCTACTTTTACTTGTATTTCACTTCTCTTGAGAAATACATTTAAAAGTGCCCCCCAAACCTTGTGTCCTGCTGTCACTATTGAGACCCAGGCTCACACGAACCTTGTCTATCTCACTGTACACCCTGTCTCACTTTGCCGCAGCGGGGTGAGAATGAACCGGCATTTGAAACGGCACGCGAGTTAACCTCAAAAGGTGGGCTCGTCCCTTGTTACCGCAAATGCTGAAAAAAAGAAACACATCGCACACACTTCCTCATTATCAACCGTCCCGGTGGTTGATGATGAGCACTGAGTAATACATACCCACCTCGGGACCCGGCCAAACAAGATTCCCCCCCAAGAAGCAGTGATGACTGATGAGATGTGGTTGCTTGTCGGGTAGGATTTCTCATCTCCAAAGTCCTCTTG